GTTTGCAGACATTCAGTTTCTGTTAACGTCTTGAGCGCTTCGGTTGTGTGCTATTCATCATACGCCGCGTTATCCGTTGGATATATCACCTAAAGGATTACCTCTGACCAACTAACCATCTCATTCTAACCAAGGTGAGCCATCCCCAACCCACAATTCTTTGGGCTCTTGACATAGGACAATGCCTGGAATTTAAATTAGTGCCCCGAAATATTCGCGATAAAGTGTGCAAATCATGTGCTGCATTCCAGAAAGACAAAAGAAGTCGAGGATTTTCGTGATCCATTCGACGAAGAGCAATAAATTGTCAAGGGAACAATAACTCGACTTGATATTGTGCGAATAACTCAATTTGAATGACAGCGAATAATGAACAAGGCGATTTATGTGGGCCAACAATTGTCGTTGGGATGCTAAAGTAACAGAAAAAATTCAAAAAATATTTATTGGAATTTATAGGAGTATACTTTAAAGAACAAAGTTCATTGAACGATTTTACGGAATGTAGAAAGGTTCTTACCGTAAAGGTAGTAGGTTTTTACGGTAATTGATTTAACTATAATTTAACAACAAAGGAGTTGATAAAACATTAGCTTAAATCGTATAAGATATATCAGAATACTATTTTAAAAAAACAGATCCCACTTCCGAGCAAACAACTAGACTATCATAAAAAGTTATACATATTACTTAAGTCAAAAGATCAGAACAATTTTCTTTGACTTTGCACTTGAAACGTCGTAATAGCTCTAAATGTATAAGCAGTCAGTACCATTTCCATTGGACACGGTGATGGCTTTCCTGTAAGCCTCTGCCTTACAAGCCATTTCCTAAACCACTTAAATGCTACCCGAACTCGTTGCTGAAACTCTCAAGAAATATCATTACAAAATAAATAGACAAACAGAATTATTGTAATGACACCGACTGGTCTGATGCGGAACAGGGCAAGTGAGACGAGGGGCAGAAGACAAAGGCCGGGAGAGACAGAAACCGAAAGCACTTTAACTGGAGCCAAACAGCTAAAAACCCGAAAAATAAGTTAATAAAACCCGTTTTCTGGCCATTTTTCACGAGTCTTGTCCGCTTGATTTTCGAATCGCTGTTTTGTTTTGCTGAAGATTTTCGCAATATTTGCAATAGAGGTGCAGGCAAGAAGAAAAATTTGCAATAGCCGCAGCGGCCATTAGCGCAACAAAAAAAAAACACGGGAGTGAGCACACACAGCAATTTGAGTGTGTGGCCGAGCCTCCTCCAACCCACCGGCGGTAATTGCAATTCTAACAGGTTGCAGGTTGCAACTGCAGCAGCCGCTGTGGTTGCATTCGAAGCTAGTTGTGGCATGTGCAGCACATGCACATGCTGGCTATACGAGTATCAAATCCCCATCAGACTCTCGCGCATTTCGAGAGCTTGACCTCAATGAGCTCCGCATCTGCGGTGTTGCAAATTTCGATTCAAAATAGCCCATTTGTTGCAGTCGACTTTTCTGTTGCCCAATCCAATCCTGCATTATCTTTGGCCAATATAATCAATCATCCCCACGACAAGAGGAAAGACAATTTACGCATCACTTAGTAGGATTTGAAAACAAAAGTAAACAAACAAGAGCTATAAAAAGCCAAGCCACAAGTACGCCCCAATGAGCGCAAACAAAGCAGCGAGCGTTTAAGCCAAAATATACTGTATAACCATTTATTGTATTAACCGCCAAGCATGACTATCTCCAAGTCACTTTCCTCCATTTGCATTAACTGTCATTATCATTACTTATTTGTACAATTATATATAGTATGTCTCCTTATCAGGCAGGGCAGATGGCTGATCGCCCAAAAGTGAAGACTCGTATCAGAAGGGCCATAGACAGGTTTTGAGGTCGATGTCAGCTGATTTGTTTTTTGGCCCTTACGCAAGCTCCCAGCCCCTTTTCTCGGTGCTAAGTACACATCTGCTTGAGGGAGGAGGTGGGCCAAGTTACTGCATATTTGGACACAGCCCATGCTAATGAATCCAGGCAGTGACGTGTGACCACAAGACCTACGATCGAGCGACGTTTTGAAAGCGCGCAATTAAAATGTCAAAAATATCTGATTTTTTTGAATTGCGTATTAAAAAGTGTGTCGAAATAGCCGGCGAAGAATAGGGGGTTGCAATTTCATTGTTTTACTTAGCTATTTTTATAATTATTGCAAGGCATTGGGCATGACTCAAGGAAAGGTCACACAAAGTTAATAGACCTCTGTAAGGCCTTTGAGAGATTTATCTATTTTTAAATATTCCTAAAATTTAATTTATATTTTGAGAGCACTTAATAGGGGCTAAATTATTGTAATCTAATGACCTTCTGATCTACCTGCTCTTCCCAGATGATGTTGCTACACCCCACACCCGAACAGCGCGTGAGCATCCGCGATGAGCTCCGTGAGCCGGAGGATCCAGCAGACATTGACCGCGACATCAAGCTGATCCGCGAGTGGCTGGAGACCCAGCCCCATCTGCCCAAAGACATGGACGACATGCGCCTCACGACCTTCCTGCGAGGTTGCAAGTTCAGTCTGGAGAAGGTGAAGAAGAAGCTGGATATGTACTACACCATGCGCAACGCTGTGCCGGAGTTCTTCTCCAACCGGGATATTAATCGCGAGGAACTCAGCATCGTTCTCGACTATGTGTAAGTACCTGAGTTTATTCTTCTATGCAATATTATTTAATATTCAATATTTCGCGTATATTCCATATTTTCCGACAGGCACTGCCCAACTCTCCCAGGAATCACGCCTAACGGACGCCGCATTACATTCGTCCGGGGTATCGATGTCGACTTTCAGCCCCATCACATTCTAGACGCCATGAAGGTTGCCCTGATGATTGGGGACGTCCGCCTTGCGGAGGAGAGCGTCGGCATTGCGGGGGACATCTTCATCATAGACGCGTCGTTGGCCAGCGCTAGCCACTTTGCCAAATTCTCGCCCACCGTAGTGAAAAAGTTCCTGATCGCCGTTCAGGAGGCCTATCCCGTTAAGGTGAAGGAGGTGCACGTGTTCAACATCTCCCCACTGGTGGACACCATCTTCAACTTTGTGAAGCCCTTCGTGAAGGAGAAGATCCGCAGCCGCATCTCCTTCCACAACGACCTGGAGAGCCTCTACAAGGTGGTGCCCCGCGACCTCCTGCCCAACGAGTACGGCGGCAAGGCCGGCAACGTGGTGGAGATGAACCAGTGGTGGAAGCAAAAGCTGGTCGACAACACCCAGTGGTTCAAGGACCAGGAGGATAAGAAGGCCAATGAGTCCCTGCGTCCCGGCGCCCCCAAGACCAGCGACGATCTGTTCGGCATGGAGGGAACCTTCCGCCAGCTGAACATCGACTAGGGCCCAAAGAATCCAGGTCCTGCGACCTCGTCCCAGCTTGTCTAACCGTTTATATTAGCCGCTCATTTGATTAGTCCAAGCTCGTGTGCATGACTCTTGCTTAATAGCTTCATTCTTTCGCCAGATACCATTGTTAATCCATCTTTATATCACCAGTACATTGCAGTAATTACGATAATAAAGAACCAGCATCATATTAAGGAATGAATAAATAAATTCAATGTGGTTTTACTTGGTGGCAACGTTTCTCTTTTAATACAACTTGAAATGCTCTTGGCAACACTTCCCTTTATGCCATAGCAAAATTCCTTCAAAGAAATAACATAAATTTGGTCAACTGCAGTTATCATCCAGAAAAAGGCTATAAAAATCACCGCCATCAAGGCAGACGAGTCTTTCGAGTTTTACGACAACTTCTAAGAAAGTTTCTAAAAGGTGATTTAGTAAATAGGTAGATATTATTCTAATATATTTTCGATTCAAATTTAATATATATTTTATACCTCACATAGACTACAATAGAAACGAGAACGCATCAAATTAAAGAATAAATTAATCAGGGTAAATGTCCTCGCTCTTTTGAACATGCAATAAAGTTGGCAGAGAATGGATGCCAAAGGACAAAAACATTTCTCCACGAACGCCCCATTAAAATAATGACCAAGGCTGGAGGATGAAGAGGCGGAGCAGTGAGTGGCCGATGCTTGATTGCATCTGCCACAGTGCACCCAGCATGCACATGGCCACATATTTCACTCGTCGCATGTCGCCACTTTGTGCAACATGCACATTGATCAACGGAAAGGGAAACTTGTCGCACTCCAGTGGGCGGATGGAGGAACCTCCAGCCGGATTCCTCCCGGCTGACTTGTTCCTTCGACATATTGGTTCCGTCCATTGTTGTGTGCGCATTTCGGCGTACGAAATCAAGTGCTGCCAACATATCGCAGTCACGACTCCTCGGACATGGTCAACTGTGTTTCAATGTAAAGCGCTTTCCCTCTCTCGACGGCAGGGTTTATTTGGAATTGATGGCCCGCCAGCCAAGGAATTGTAAAGCACCCGTCTGAATGGATGGGCGGTCAAGTGGCGTTATGATTTATTTGTACAGCCCAGTTGCCAAACTTCGCAAAACTAACAGCAGATTTCCGTTGGTGAACTTCGAAGTAATAGTTTTTTGGTCAAAATCGGTGAAGCCACTAAAGCCCAATTCACTTCAATTCGGTTTTGTAACGAATCGGAAAACATAACAAGGATTTTCTTAGTGACACTCTACATTTCTCAACTATTTAAAAAGTAGAATTAATATTTAAAAAATGAAATCAAAAAGTAATTTAAATCTATTTCAACTATTATTTGAATTTGTATTTTCGCAGCTCTCTAATTGGCGTCTTAATAATAAAAAACTTTAAAAGTTTCTCAAAAGTTGTATGAAATTATAGCCCATAATTTATTCATTTTATAAAAATCACAAGACACTTTATAGATATTGACTACAATGTGTAATTTAAACTTTATTTTGTTATGGCCGTATAATTGAAAAGTTTATGGAAACTTAGGCCTGAAATTCCGAGCCTATAAAATAATGAGGCCAAAGGGTTTAGCTTTGGATAACATTTTTTGGTCGGAATGGAGCTGAAACCCAAGAAGGAAAAGATTAAGGACGACTCCAAGCGTCGTGATCTTTTCGTTTTCGTAAGGCAAACCATGTGCATAGCGGCCATGTATCCTTTTGGCTTTTACGTCAAGGGTCCTGGATGCTTGGCTCATCTCGTCCGAGCCTGTGACTTGTTCTACGAATTCTTCAACTACTTCGTATCGGTTCATATAGCTGGCTTATTCATCTGCACTATTTACATCAATTATGGCCAGGGCGACTTGGACTTCTTCGTTAACTGTTTGATACAAACCATCATTTATTTGTGGACCATTGCGATGAAGCTGTACTTCCGACGGTTCAGGCCAGGATTGCTGAATGCCATATTGGCCAACATCAATGAGAATTATGAGCCACGATCTGCTGTGGGATTCAGCTTTGTTACAATGGCTGGTTCTTATCGGATGTCCAAGCTGTGGATCAAAACCTATGTGTACTGTTGTTATATTGGCACCATTTTCTGGCTGGCCCTTCCCATAGCCTATAGGGACAAGAGCCTACCTCTAGCCTGTTGGTATCCATTTGATTATACTGTGAGTTAAGGATTTATATGTCTTTATATTACTTATTTAAAGGCGATCTCTTATAGCAACCCGTTGTGTATGAGGTAGTGTTCTTCCTGCAGGCAATGGGCCAAATTCAAGTTGCTGCTTCCTTCGCCTCCTCAAGTGGCCTGCATATGGTGCTTTGTGTGCTTATATCAGGGCAATATGATGTCCTCTTTTGCAGTCTTAAGAATGTTCTGGCCACCACTTATGTGCTTATGGGAGCCAATATGGCAGAACTCAGGTAATTAAATTTAAAACAATAATGAAAATATTATAATATACGGTTAATAAAAGAGTATTATGATACAATCTCAGAGAATTGCAAGCTGAGCAATCTGTATCCGATTCGCAGCCTTCCCAATACGCTTATTCCTTGGAAGAACAAACGCCTTTACAGGACCTTTTACAACCCACAGCGGAAACTTCAAAGGATTTTTCGACTGCATTCAGGCAGTCCTTCGTTCACTGCATTCAGCACCACCGCTACATAGTGGCTGCTCTGAAGAAAATGGAAAGTTTCTACAGTCCTATATGGTTTGTGAAAATCGGAGAAGTAACCTTCCTTATGTGCCTAGTGGCGTTTGTTTCGACGAAGAGCACTTCGGCCAACTCCTTCATGCGAATGGTTTCCCTGGGCCAGTACTTGCTCCTGGTTCTCTATGAGCTCTTCATCATCTGCTATTTTGCAGACATCGTATTCCAGAACAGTCAACGATGTGGCGAGGCCTTGTGGCGAAGTCCATGGCAGCGACATTTAAAGGCGGTTCGCAGGGATTACCTATTTTTCATAATGAATTCCCGAAGGCAGTTCCAACTCACTGCCGGTAAAATAACCAATCTCAACGTGGAACGATTCAGAGGGGTGAGTTTACTAACGGTCTAGCTTGCATCAAAAAGATTATATATTATAATATAAACTAAATTTACTTTCCAGACTATTACCACTGCGTTTTCGTTCCTCACCTTGTTGCAAAAGATGGACGCACGAGGCTAAAAATAGCATTTATTTGGATTTAAAAAATAGTTAGTTATCATTATAAATGAGTAGCGCATTTGAATACCTAAGCACTGAGTTGTTCTTTATTTGCTTTTATCAATAATTGCTTCAACTTTGGCAATTGCACTCCCGTGCAGTGCGTTACACAAATATTTTAAATATAATATTAAAATGAATGCATTCTTGGCATCCACATTTTGAAAACACATTAGCCAGAATTGTTAACATAAAGCCAACAGTAGAGTATATACATCTTATACTGCAAAGCAAATTAAAATGTTTGAATTTGTTTACTTATGAAAGGGCTAATTTATTGTTAATAATTTTTTTAATTTCTTAATAAAGAGGTAAAAATTAATTTCCAAAATATTTTCATTATCAGTTGAACCAAACACAAAATGCTATATAGTTAATTTCAAACTTATTCAGTAAAAGACAAATTTAGTTTTTTTTAATAAATGCCTTTTGGTTGTTTGGCGCACTTAAAACAGCCTTTCAACAATAGCGAATTTATTGAAAAGATCATACAAGAAGATAATGTGCTTGAGAATAAATTATTGACTCTAAAGGCAAACTAAATCATATACATTTATAAGGTACTTGGGTTAACTCTGCCGACTCCCTACCTCGCATTCGCTCCATCTCTCCTCTCGCGATGTGTTCCCTTCATTCGTGTTAACTACATTTGAGCAAGTATTTTGCTTAACAATTTGTGTTTTCTCTCCATTATGTTCATTCTCAAAATGTTGTGCTTGGCATTTTGTACAGTATCAAAAATGGTTTGTTGCATGCTTTCTATTGCGGCCAAATACTACAGTTCTTGTTTATTTTTACATTACATATACATTAGGCAAATGCTCTAACACTTGCTTACAATTAGTTAATAGAGGCCCTTCATGTTGGTTTTTATAAAAATGTACATATTTTTCAGTATTTCAGTAGACGAATGCCCGAGAAGATCTCGGTTACTATACTCAATATAGCCTTCTATACTGCCTAAATCAGTTGCATTATTATCAGATAATTATTATCAAAAAAATATATGTAAGTTTATAATTTATGTATCTTATAATCATTTCCCATTCCGATTTCCCTCCTCAGCACTCCGTTTCGATCTTTTGTTTCGTATTTTATATATAGATATATTAAACAAAGCATAACAAGGCGAGCAGCCACAACAACAGCAACAGCAACAAGGCAGACAGAGCAACAATTTTAAATTGTTGCTTATTTTGATAAATGCAATGAGTATGCTGTTGCTGTTGTATCAGCTGATGCTCCGGTGTTTTCTGTACATTCCTAAGGATTCTTGTGCTGCGAACTGAGTATATGACATTCCTCCTCTGTCGAATGCCGCTGACGGCTTTGGCCACAAGTTGTTGTTGCTGCTGATCCTGCGGCTGCTGTCGTGGCACCTTGCTTTTGCTATTGCTGTTGACTAGTGGGTGTTGGCTGCGCCGCTAGCTGGCGTGTGCCGTACTCGTGCTGTTGTCGTGGTTGTAATGCTCCGTGTTTACAATAACCTGCACCACGTAGCCCTGGTGTATGCTACACTCATCAATGGGCACCTTGTCACCCAGCAGCTTGCCGCTGTAGAACCACCGCTGACAGCAGGCGTCGACAGCCTCAGCGGCCTATAAAGGTTACCAGATCGATTAGTAAGCTAGAACTATAAAAACAAGAGACAGATGACTTTCTCGACACTGAACTCACCTGAAGCTTCTTTTTGCACTGCCCCACGGTGTCCTTTGAGTAAACCGGAAGTTTAACATCAGTCATGGTCGATGATATGCGCAGCTTCAAAAAGATCTCGGTTCCGCCATCCACTGGCTCAGAGTATTCGGCAGGAGAGTCACGTCCATTCTCCTCTTTTACTATATTTATGGGATATGACAGACAGTAAATGGGCACCTTGTACTGGGTGCCCAACTCATCGTAGCATTCTGTTAGGTAGCTGCAAAATACAAACACTGATCAGTAACCAGGCGGGCCATCCGTTATCACTATCTTATCGAAAATCCCAAACAAGCCCAAAAAAATTTGTCACCCAATTGAGCCTAATGCTAATGATTCAATGCCAAGTGGGACAAGTCTGATAAGGCAATAGATAAAGACGGTATTACGTAGGGAGCCCTCATCAAGGACACTGGTGCATGCAATTACAAAAGTGGTGGAAAGGTCAGCGCTGCATTTAAACAAATATGGTCTACAGTCCGAGGCGAGTAAGTGCCAGAGTGTCAGTCAAAAATCGATGTCTAATAAAAACGTTACCGCGAGAAATTTGAAAGCTTTGGTCGACCGCAAAAATACTCTAAACTTGGAGTACGTTACAAACGCTTTCTTTAAGCCTTAACTGAAGTAAACAAATAATTCGATACAATGTTTTTATTAATAAACGAATGATTTTTAATAGGGCATACTCTTTTCGAGAACCATTTTTAGCCGCGCAATTTCCAGTCCATTTCGAACTTTCCCGAAAGGACTCATCACAAATTTATGATACCCCCGTGGTCTCTACCAAAGGTAATGCTGTCATGCTGTCATGCATTAATGGAGTTATGGCCATGTGGAATCACTATATACATTATTGATTTTCTAGGCGACGGCAATTAGCATGCCGTGTCATTAGGGACTTTACCGGATTTGTATTACAAATATCAGGAAGTTCGGTCTAAATTATCTAAGATATAAATTAAATATTTTTAACTTTAATCATTTTTTAAATACTTAAATCTGATAGTTACTTGTTCGTAAGATAATTGTTGTTGTTAAGTTGTCAGTCATCTTAAACCAATGACTAAATTATCTAAGCCCAACAAATAAGACCAAATCCTTTGATTCGCACTATCGATTCGTACAAAAGCCTAATTCGTAAGGATTAACTCACCCATTTGGAACTGAGACATTGGCTCCGTCGAGGATAGCCTGCGCCATCTGGAAGTCAAGGCCCTCGGCCGCGTTCGTGGCCGCCCGAAGTGCATCCCAGATCTCTTTTCGGCCGTCGAAGGCCGGCGCAGTGTCCCAGAACTCATCCCGCTTGGACCTCAATTGACCCTCAGTCAGTGGTACGTCAGATCGCCACCGGATGGTCTCATGGCAGAGCGGTCGGTTCTTGCGCGCAGCGCCCATCGCAATGCCTACAAAACGAGAAGATGTATAGATGATATAGACATATATATATGGGCTACGTAGAAGGCCACTCACCTGCGCTGGCCGGACGCGAGATGCTCGCCGAGGAGACGCTCATCGTCTCATTGTCGGGATTCATGCGACATACACAGGCGCCCATTGTCACGCTCAGCTCCACTCCCCTCCGCTCCGGTAAGAAGGATCTATCAGCGATATATATACATACATGTGTGTATTGCACTCGTACGTAAAGTCACGTACATACACCAGTTCCGGAAAGTCGGAATCTGGAAATAACGGATACTCACCTCCGTCCCGCACAGCCGCCTTGTTTGCCTGCTCGTCTATATTACGTACGCCTTATTTTTGTGCTCAGTTATCGGGTCGGCTGTTTATTTTTATTATTGTTGCTTTGGCTGCTTCTGCCTTTTCTTTTATTTTTTGTGCGACACACGACCAGTGTGACCGCAGCTGTAGCGCCAAAATACGATGCACTGCGTGCCGAGTTGCAATAAAATATACCAGAAAGAATTGTGACATATACCCTAAGGAAAGTATATTTAGCATACGACTTAAAAGTATTTGCCAACGAGCGGCGGGAGTACCCTTACCTTATTTCGAAAAATATTTGGCAGCTGTGTAGATGTAAGCTGATGCGAATTTTTCACAACGAGCACCTATCATTAATGAACAAATTAAAAGAAATTAGGCTTCTTCTTACAGCAGCTCGAATAGGCTTCTTTGAAATAAGAGATGTAAGGCGTTCACACTGGTCGTCTCAGTAGTGAAAAGAAAAAAATTGTCAATTGAAATCAACAACTAGAAAGTTTTCTCCTTAAAGTAAAACTCAATTATTAAAAATGTTTAAAGCATTTACATAGGGATAAAAACTTTAACACTGAATATTTAATTCTTCTGTAAATTTTTGAGCACACTTCGGTGATTCGAGTTGATGGTTCTTTTTTATCTCAGTTAGGACATAAACTTTCGGAATGAGAAATCGCTGTTGCCGCCGCGGAATACGCTTTTAGCCTTTCTCAGGATTCATTTAATCAAAATTTCTTATCTGCTATTTGTGACAGAACATAAAATATTATTTTCTTTGAAATGTGCAGAAATAAATTTAATTTTAAGTAATTTCATTCTTGTTCTTCAGTTGTGAATCATCTTTGTCAGTGTTTAAACGCAGAAGTCGTTATGAATTAGGAAGAAATTATTAAAAGAAGTTAAAAATTAAGATACCAGAAAGGCTCCGATTAGCAGGACCCAAAAGGAAATTAAATAAAAAATAAGTAAACTATGTAGTTGAAATCGATTTGTGTTTGTTATTCTTTGTACGAGGTGTGTTCAAAAAGTAAGGTGACTCTTCAAATTTCGCGAATTTCAAATTTTTCGATTATCGAAACCTTTTAGAAGTTATACGAGGTGTGTTCAAAAAGTAAGGTGACTTTTCAAATTTCAAATTTTTCAAATTTTTCGATTATCTTCAGTTTTGGGAACAAGAAAAAGTCACATGGGGCCAAATCCGGTGAATATGGTGGCTGAGGCATTATTGTGGTGTTGTTTTTGGCCAAAAAATCCAAATCCTTTGATCCATATTTTTCGATAGCAAAAAATCGCCGAGCTCGCAAAATAACTTGTAACTTTACGCCTCTCACAACCAAACAAAAGAGGATGTTCCATTGAAACTTGGTACAGATGTTAGGGAAGAGTGTACCAATATAACAAAACAAAAAAATCGATAATCGAAAAATTTGAAATTCGCGAAATTTGAAGAGTCACCTTACTTTTTGAACACACCTCGTATAGCTTCAATGTTGAAAAATATTTAAATTTTATTTACAATATTCTTAACATGAAAAATAAACTTCACATGGAATAATGTAATTAATGTATACATATTTTGGGTCCTCCGATGTTGTGCATCTTGCAAGCAACAACAACGGTAAATGCAACTCATGTACTTCCAGGCGCAAAGAGCTCTCTCAGCCTTTGGGCTCTCGCGCTCTTTGATCGGAATATTGGAGCAGCGTTAATAAAAGACGCCAACAGAAAGCGGCAGAAAAGAAAAAACCAGACGACCTCGACCAAAGTTGTCGCAAAAACAAAAGAAATAAAGACATGCAAATAAAAAAACAACACACATGCAGTGTGGGAAGAAGTAAATAACCTGGAAGCAAAGGTGGCGAAAAATCCCGAGAAAGACAGTAAACATACTTTACTATTACTTTACACTCTACTACTTTACACTTGTAACATAAGTATTATTAAGTTTAATGCAATGAAACAATAAATATTGATAAAAAACGAGGTTTTCATTTTTCTATTTAATGTTCATTGCAATTGCACTTTCCAGACAAACTTTCATTGAGTCATACAAGAAAGGATATAAAGCTGGCAAATGCGCAAATTTTTGAGGACCTACTGCTAACTTAGTTAACCGTTACCACTCACCACTCCAAAAACGAGCAAAAACATGCTCGGTAAAAACAAAATAACAAGCTTAAGCGCTCATAAAAATTCACTTCCAGCGGCAGCGCAGCGACTACTACGCCGACAGCGGCAACTTCCAGTGGGCAAAAACGAAAGACTTCAATTCAGTTTGGCGAAGACAACGAACCCGAAAAGAGCTGCGCGGACGGCAGCAGAAAGAGAGAGAAACGTCTTACAAAACGGTACGTGCGCGCATGCGTGTATCTGTGTGTGTCCAAAGTGAAGGTGTGTGTGTGTGTGGGCCAAAAGTTTAGTGCAGCAACAGCAACAATTTTACCAACACACGAACAACGGCCAGCAAAAGAGAAAAAGTTAATGAAAAGAAATCAAATACGAAATTAAGTTTTCAAATCAGTGGGCCACGCAGGCGAATCCGCTAAAAAGAAAGGAAGCTGGCCAAAATCCACAATTCGTGCAGTGAAAAGTGCCTCTGTTTGAAATTCCTCTGTTCTTTTTATAGCCAACAAATCGGAGCCACATTCACCTGGACAAGTAAATCCACTCTCGATATCCGTGGAAGACAATAGCCTGATTCAGTGGACTTTTCTTTTGTGCCATTTCATCGCCGTCATCCGATCAACAGAAAGCAACGGTACAATTCTCATACCATATGTATATCTGCATGTGAAAGTTACGGATCTCTTTCTATTTCGTTGCCAGCTTCTCGCTTTTCATTTCTTTTCTTCTGCTTCTGCTGCTAACGGGTTTTGTTGGCAACACTTTTGCTTTTCACAAGCTGCAGCCAATCTGGCTATTTAGCATTTCGGAGCTGGAAACAATTTGCGTTGTTTGCGGATCAGAAAACCCGTTCGCCGAAATATATCAACACACCCAAAAACCAGGCAACTTGTTCTATAAATTATGATTTAAATTAGTCAGCCAAGGCAAGTCTGAGGTCTCGGGTTTTCTTGGCATTTAGCACTTCCAATGGGATTTTTAGGGGCTTTCACATGGAATCATCAGCTTGAAATGTCATTTGGTCTAGGTTTTCACCTGGATCATCTCATTATTGGCGAATACGTCCACTCATTCGCTTGGCATTTCCAATAAGATTCGCTCAGACGCCTCCTCTTCAAGATTCTGTTTATAAGTTTTGAGGTCTTTTCTCTCTCAGTGCTTCTACTGCTACTTGCTCATTTCAATTTTGCTCACATCTTTCGAGTGGCCCGCTGCCAAACAAAAACCTCTGCAAATAGTCAATGTTTATTTGTTTTCTCTCCATAAAGCAGGTAACTGTTGTTTTGGACATTAAAAAGAGGGTGGCCTGCCCAACATTTTCAAAGTCAATGCTAAAATAGATTATTCAAATGGTTTTTAAAACCACAAATTATGTAATTTATCAGTCAGTTCTTTAATATTTTTTTTCTACCATATCCCTATATCTGCAATAAAAATTTGAAGCACAAGACTTACCAAAATCCCCCAACTTAAAGACACCCAAAAACTATGTCATTGAACATGACCACTCATCGGTGAATGTTTAAAATCTTTTTGAAATCCAAAATATACTCATCAACGAAAGCTCAAGTTAAAGACCGAACAAAAGACAAATCATTCTCAGGTCTCGAAAGAAACCAAAAAAAGAAAACCAAAACATGAAGTGCCAGTTCCGATTCAACTTACGCATTACGTAAAAACCAAACACTTCACTGTGACTCATTTCACATAATCAAAACGCCTTGATTCAATCTTGATTAATCATGGTTGGCTTTATTCCATTGGCATATATTTAACCATATCTCAAGCTTGACAAACAATCAAATATTCTGCAATTGAATGCATTTTAATTGGTTTAGTCGCCGACAACGAAATGCCAAATTACTTACCAAAATTAATGTGACTCATTCGATGTTAAGTCAAAACAGCTAACGGTAAAACAGTTTACAGACAAACAGGATACTAAAAGGTGAAGGAACCGAAAATAAAAATGAGCTGGCAAGAAATATCTTTAGATCTGAAAAGAAAATGGAGGTTGGTTTTTTTGGGTGTAGTCTTTTGTGAAACTGTCAACTCAATTCTCCAAAAATAGTTCAGTTACTTTTTGAGATTACATGTTTTAATGATGACGGCTGTAAAATATTTCATGTTTTAGTTTTCTTCCTATTGTAAAACAACTTTAAAGTGTCGTTGATGACTTAGCATATATTATCAGCTTGATGTTAATTACAATTTGTTAAACAATACAAAAGTGATAACTAAAATTATTCATAATATCCCTGACCACTAAGCGTTTTTAAATCAACGGAATAGGATCTCTGAATTTTCATAAGTGAACGTACGAGCTCAGTTTAGGAGCAGCTCCAAGATAGATAGCATGATCCACAGGAATGAATCACCCGAGTTGATAGCATACTGGTATTCCTGCAATCCGATTGCAGGCAACCTTCAAGCAATTTTGACTCTCCGCTGTGGCAAGCATAAATCAATGGCTTAACTGGCCAATCCCAGTGAGCTAACCACTGCACATTGAACCCACACCCATAGATGGCCCTCATTCCCTCTCTAAAACTTGCCCCATCTTGGCCATGTCACCACGGTATTCGCAGTTCGTTCCGGCTTGGTTCGCCTGCAATTTTTCACATAATGCTTGCGATTTTACTCTTATTGGCGCATATTTCTTGGCCCCAGCTCGCTGGTTTTCCTGTTGTCCGCCGAAAACTGGTTGTCCGGCAACAAGCAGTCAGCAGTCAGCAATCGGCAATCGACAAAAGGCAGCTGGTTGGCGTGGTCGGTTCGATTGCCGCGTTCCCGTTTTGACTAGTTGGCTTAAATGTAGCAATAGCAATCAATTTATGCGCCAGCCCAAGCAGCAACAACTGTTGCAGCCCAACTTGTATCTGTATCTGAACAGACTTCAGTATCTGAGCCCCAGTATCGCACAGATTGTGTTCGCTTATTTCTATAACATTTTTTACAAGTATCTGACTTTCACTTTTTTCTGTGTTTCTCGGCTGGCTGTCGGTGGAGCGCAGGTTTTAATTGTTCGCCTTCTTTGGCGGCTTCTGACTTAGCCCCACAACTTAAACATTAAACTGAATAGATATGTATGACTGTAGGTACACAGAAAAACACTTTTAATACACTAAGTAATTTGGCTTTTAAAATTAGTAGGCTTGCAAGACATACCTGTTTTAAAATGTTTTGTTGGTTTTCTGACTTTAAAACATTTTATTCATTGCAAATTTGGTTATTAGCGTAGTGTGTAACTTAAAGTATCTATAATGTTATCAGTTCATATATTCCTGTCAGTAAATTGAGACAATCTTAGCTTAAGACCCTCTGCTGTCCATGCTGACGAAGAAAATATGTTGAAAGTAATATTATTATAAAAATAAAACATTATCGTATTGTTTTTCTGTATGTAGTATCAATTATTTTTTGGTCCAATGGACATTCACTTCTCTCTCCAACCCACCTCCCATTAATGCCTTCCCGCCCGCGCAAGGCGCTAATGTGGTTATTACAACAGACAAACATTATTAAATCGCCCAACGCCTGCAGCTGTGTCCCATTGTTTATTTCGGTGGGCAGCACAAAAGACTTGGCTTCATGCCACTCCAAGACCACTAGTTGGCCCGCTCCAGTTTGCCTTCCTGTCCGACCGGTTGGCTATCGGAGATCTGTTACTCCAAACGAGAATATACAAGAATATGTTCGTTTCTCCCACTCTGTTACTTTGCAAAGTCAATTCCACAGGCGTAATCCTTTGCGGGCTCGATCTTTCTAGCCCTCGGCGTTGATACAGCGCGTCGACATGAATGCCTAATGGAATTCGTATTTCGTATATCGTATTTTCCGCCACTTGGGTCATATTTGGTATGGCGAGCACGTTTAATGTGTGTGGGTAAAAGTACTATAATGTTGAGGCTGGCTAGGGTTAACTGAGTTCATTTCCACGGGGATATACACGTTTCTTCAAACATCTAGATTTGTTCTTTTTCGATTAGAGTTGTCTCAAGGGAGAATGCCACCATTCATGATTCAAAAGAGAATTAAGTTAACGTTTGCTGATCGATTTCCCCGTCTTTAAACTGATTTATTCTTTTAAACTCTTTTCAAGCTTATTCGCATCAGAAGTCAGTTTCAAACGTAAAAACGTCTGAAAAATATTAACGGACACACATAAAGTTGCTTGGCTAAATGGTGCAATTTATTTCTCAAGCCCCGCTAATTATGTTAGGATAAGCATACCAAACAACTTTAATAACAAATGCACAGCTTTTATATTATCATTTATCTCAATTTAGTCTTTAAATCAACTCAAAGCTGCCGGATTATGTATTCAATTTCTCCCAAGGCAACTTTAACTTGAAGATATAGCCAATTCATAACTAAACCAAGTTCAACTGGTACATAAGATCTGTTCTGGTGGACATTTGACATTTAGCAGAGTCAGAGAAGACGAGACTTTTGTTGGATATTCATTGGCAGTGGCCAATTGAATCGTTTTGTACGACGGTTGCTCAACTGCGTATTTTTCCCATATTGAATTGATTTTGCATTTTGTGTTGCCAAACAGTCGAAGAGGAAACGAGTTTTTATTGTGTTTTAAAATAAAAGAGGGGATGACTTATCAAAGAGATAAAATATGCCTAATTAGTTACTAAATCACCTTTAATGACACAGTCTGAAAAAATAGGAATTTGGATAAACAAAAAACCGGCGAGCATAAAAAAGTGCATCTAGCCATTACATTCGACCGTGACAGGACTCGAACCTGCAATCTTCGGATTCGAAGTCCGACGCCTTATCCTTTAGGCCACACGGTCTGCTTGCAACGACATGTTGGTTCCTGCCCTATAAAGCCCAAAACAAGGACACACTTTCACCACACTTTCGCCACGAAAGCATCCTGCCACTCCTCTAAATGTCAAAATGGTAAAAGCCACCCTTACACTACCGCTAGCTTAATAATGTGCGTTCCTCCGTTATTGTGGGTGTGGGGTGACTTCGTCCTCTTGGGGTGGTTCATCCTATGACACCATAGCTACCCAGTGCGCAGAATCCTCCACAAGAAGGCCAGATGCACAGCACAGCATCCATGGAGGCAAACAACTGTTTTACTAGACAACTGATTGGGAGAAACAATTTACAAATTGGATGCACTCCGGATTCTTACTTTCAAAGCTTTCCTTTCGTGTTCACTGAAATGCCAGATTTAATTTTATTCCTTCAACTGATATCTCAATGACAATTTAATCTGACAAGTCTATATGAATTAATATTTCCAGGCTTACTGGCAAACAATATTAAACTTTAGATTAAAATTGTAACCTTTTTTGATTGTTTCCAGATCAATCTGGAGGACCAAATGGTGCCTTTTCCTTAATAGCAGCCCTGCAATCGACCATTATCAATTTGCAAAGATAGGTATTGATAGTTTCAGGTTGGATAGAAAACCAGGAAAACAGTGGCTTATATAATTAACATTTTGTATAATCGCTAAAGACTTACCAGTTTATTGACCGTATAAAACTTTCTTGAAGAATCCCAAGATTACTTTGCAAGTGAAGTTAGGGATGATATGCTCTAATATCCTGTTTTTCCATTCTATTGAGGGAGGCCTTGATATAAATTTTAGTTTCCGGTTAAATTCCTTCAGTCACACTCGTACACCCTTGCAATATTTGTGAACTTTTCAGATTCTTGTAAAATTGCAATGCATTAAGTGGGTTCAAAATTCCCGTTTAGTTGTAAAAGACATCATGCAGACCTCCGTAAATTTCAAGTCTGTATCCAAGAACCCGAGCAAGGGAGTTATTGGGAAGAGGACCCAAGTCGTAACTCCCACCTTCGAAGTGACCCAGTTGAGCAACTCCGTGTTGGGCAGCAAACGTGGTGTCCAACTGCCGAAACTGATGGTGAAAGGTCAAATCCTTCCATATCAGGTGGCCAATGCCCGATTCCATGTAGTGGAGTCCGATCCTCGTCCGCTCAGTGATCAGCAATTCAACGCACTAATCAAGCGGTTGGTCAAGTGTTTCATGTCGGAGGTGGAAATCACAAGGCGACTGCGAAAGGCCACCACACATAGTTCGGGTAATCCAACGGATCTGAATCTCATCCGCCGCCTGGAGTCTCTTCGTCGGAACTACGAGTCCGAGCGATCCGTTCTCGTGGTGAAGCTCAGCCTGGACAGTCGCTTTAATTTGCAGTCCTCTTATGCTAAGGCTGAAAAAATTCAGCAGAGCAAGTCCATCAAACCTCGAAAAAGCAATCCTCTCGATACCCATTCAAAGAGCTTTAAGGTACCCCAAAAAATTAAGAGTTGCAAGCATGAGTACGATGTGCGTCCAAGTCAACGACAAAGTGGAGGCTATTGCTATCCCAAATACTCGCCTAGAAGAGCCATAGTTTGTAATCGTATTGATAAGTCACCAGGTCCTTCCCACCATCTTAGGGAAAAGCTCTACAGATTGCTGGAAACTTCTATACCTCCGTTGGAATCTGCCCAAACTAAAGAATCGTTCGAAGACCCTAAAGCCTTCGTGGACTCGGACATTAAAGATTCAATTTCTGCTGTGTCGCCGTGCTCTTCTGACACGTTCTTTGATATTCCCGATATGGTGGATTTTCAGAAATGAAAGAGGATTCTTTGTTATAGGACTATGTCTTCTATTTCTTTCAGCTGAACCTTAAAAGTTGACAACCAAAAATTACATGCAAAACCAAAAAAGGCAACAATTATATTTTCTTGTCTCAAAGGGCTTATCTTAAGATATTATATCTTAGCTTTAATTGCTATCGATTAATGGCTCCCAAATCGAAGTGGATGCGGTTTTAAGTTTACACTTTTTGGGTAGAACACACTTAGTATTTCCTTTTACCCAAGATAATGTTATGTCTGTATACTGTGATAGCTCCTCCTACCATTTACCACCAGTCCCAACTGAGTTCCATCTTCAATTTGCCTCATAATCATAAATATTGCGTTCGGACCGGAATCTGGTACAAGGCTTGCATTGGCAGAACAATAGGAGCAGTGCTGGCAACTGCTACTGCAATTCAAACGAGTAATCGTACTTAATTACCATAAGAAGAGAAGACCCGGCCAACATCGGATTCAGTTCCGTGCCACATGTGGAACAACTGAGGCGAATCCAAGTCTCAAGTGGCGCATGCGACTTACTGAGCTCCAACCATTTCTTAAATAACTCTATGCTGAAAATTACAGAAGTGAAAGTGAAAAACTGGTGAGAAAATCAGGCAGCTCATGAAATCATGGGTAGAAAGATGTTAACTTAATTGCAGAGATGCCCAGGCAATGCATCACTTTTTTGAGCTACACTGAAAAATAAATTTGTAGATTACAGATCTTATTCTTGCCTACGGCATATGAACTTTAAAAAATGGTTTTCATATGATTCTGTTGAAATGGCTTTTCAAATATTGGTGTTTCGAGAAACCACACATTTTTCTGGGTGTGGATTGAACTGAAGCTTTCAAGGTTCATCTATGGACTTAAACAAAAAAAAGCCAAACCGGTCTCAGGGGAGTCAAAGGACGCCTGTCCTTGGGAGCCGTTTTCCATAGCCATAAATTACTTGTCCATTAAAACCGGCTTATCGGGCAATCGCAAGCTGGACTCAATTATTTACAACTCTTCTCAACTCTTTGCAGCCGAACATTGGCCACTACGCCCCAAGATTGGTGGCTAGCACCGACCGTGGGAGATGTCTGCGATGCGGCATCGCCCGATGGCCCCGCCGGGGCAAGGAGCCGGAGCTGGAGCTGCCGGTGAGCACGGCGATAGCGATGACAACAACTTCACCGATGACGAGAGCTCGCCTCTGACTCACGACATCTATGGCGGCAGGTAGGTCCCAACTCCATTCTGCTATCCAAAATATATCTTCCGACCATATTCCTGCCGTTAGTTGGCTAGGCCAACTACCGCGAAAAGACAACCGGAACCAAACTGTCTCAGCCAGACAGCTGTAATTAAACCCGCTCCGACCGCTATTGCTATACATTCACTTCCAGTACAGGGCGGAGTCGGGGCTTTAAAGTGCCGGAAGTCAAGATCATCCAGTCGAGCGAGCATTGCGCAAAGCACAGATCAGTGGTCTGTGAGTTGATCGGATTTCTCAAATGGGATCGGTCAATATGCTGATATGCTTGAATTTTTAAAATTTTCGGTCAGCGTCTTTTATTTTTGAGTAAAAAATATTTTAAATTTTAAATTAGTTGATTTTAAATAAATACTCTGTATTAATCTTAATTTTTTTCATTAGAAATTAATATGAATATATTTCTAATTCGTTCGTTTTTTATTTTCGTTTATTTTCGTTCCGTGGTTTTATTCTTTTGACCATTAACCTTCCTTCCATCTTCCTTTAGCCAACGCACAATACAAGAGACGAAGGGCTGGGATGTGTTCCGGGATCCGCCGATTAAGATCGAGACTGGATCGACTGCGAACCAAGAGTGCTTAGAATTAACCGTAAAGATCTTGAAGATCTTCGCCTATGTGATTACGTTTATCATAGTTTTAACCGGTGGAGTCATCGCCAAGGGCACAATGCTCTTCATGACCTCGCAAGTGCGCAAGGATAAGAAGATGGAGTACTGCAATAAAGACTTGGTAAGAAAATGTTAATTTTTTTATATAAGTTAATATAGTTTAAGGTACTAGGAGTAATTTAATAATTGCATAACCTCAGTGACTTTAGTCTTCTTTAAATAGATCAAGCAAAAATAAAGTTAAAATAATGTAAAAGAATCCGTCTAATCCAAAAGACTAAGATTTATATACTAATTTCTCCTCTTCAAAACAGGGTCGGGATAAGAGCTTCGTGGTGAGACTTCCCGAGGAGGAGCGAGTAGCATGGATCTGGGCGCTACTGATAGCCTATGCCCTGCCCGAAATCGGAGCCCTGATTCGATCCGCCCGAATCTGCTTCTTCAAGACATTCAAGGTGCCACGGACTGGCCACTTCCTGTTTGTCTGGCTGATGGAGAGTTTGAGTGCCGTGGGCATGGCCCTGCTGATGTTCGTGGTACTGCCCCAGATTGATGCCATCCAGGGAGCTATGTTGACGAACTGCCTTTGCGTGGTTCCTGGCATTTTCGGCCTCCTGTCACGCACCTCCAAGGAGGGCAAGAGATTTGTTAAGGTAATCATTGATCTGGCGGCTGTGGCGGCCCAGGTCACGGGTCTGGTAATCTGGCCCCTGCTGGAGAACCGCCGAGAACTATGGGTCATTCCGGTGGCATGTGTGATGATCTCCTGCGGCTGGTGGGAGAACTACGTGTCGCCCCAATCTCCGCTTGGCTTGGTCCGCGCACTAGGTCGCATCAAGGAGGAGATGAAGTTTACTCGCTACTTCTGCCACATATTCCTCTCAATCTGGAAGATCCTGCTCTTTTTCACTGTCACATTGCTGATTTATTGGGCCCAGGGTGACGAACCAGGCAATCTGTTTGCCATGTACGGAGATGCCTTTGGTCCCCACAAGATCATCGTCTACGAACTGCCAGCTGGTCTGGGCGGTGTTCTTCCTGATACCCTGGAATCGGCTAATATCGACACTGTCGATGAGGATGCCGCCTACAATACTGTGGTGTATGTCTTGCTCCTGCAGATATTTGGGGCATATTTGTGCTACATCTTTGGCAAGTTTGCCTGCAAGATTCTCATCCAGGGATTCAGTTATGCGTTCCCCGTCAGTCTAACAGTTCCATTGTCTGTCACGTTCCTGATCGCCGCCTGTGGAATCCGGAACGATGATCCCTGCTTCTTCCATGACACCATTCCGGATTACCTCTTCTTCACGAGTCCCTCGAACTTCCGATTTAACAACTTCGTCACCGAGCAAATGGCTTGGGCCTGGATTCTGTGGCTCCTGAGTCAGACCTGGATTGCCCTGCACATCTGGACTCCCAAGTGTGAACGTCTGGCCACGACCGAGAAGCTGTTCGTCCAGCCCATGTACTCCTCTCTGCTGATCGATCAGTCGATGGCCCTCAACAGAAGGCGGGATGATCAGGCGGATGTGAAAACGGAGGTGAGTAAAAACTATACCTCAAGAAGGATTGCAATAATGTGGGCATCTTTCCTTTCAGGATCTCTCGGAGATCGAGAAGGAAAAGGGCGACGAATACTATGAGACCATCTCGGTGCACACTGATCGCTCATCGGCACCCAATAAGCCGTCTATTAAATCCTCGGACAATATCACCAGAATCTACTCCTGCGCCACCATGTGGCACGAGACCAAGGACGAGATGATTGAGTTCTTGAAGAGCATCATGCGGATGGACGAGGACCAGTGTGCCCGTCGTGTGGCTCAAAAGTATCTCCGGGTTCTCGATCCGGATTACTACGAGTTCGAAAGTGAGTAACGTTACAAGATCCTTTAAGGCCCTAGCTAATGACAAATCCCAATTCAGCCCACATCTTCTTCGACGACGCCTTTGAAATCTCGGATCACAGCGATGACGACATCCAGTGCAATCGTTTCGTTAAACTGCTGATAGCCACCATGGACGAGGCTGCCTCCGAGATCCATCAAACAACGATCAGGCTGCGGCCGCCAAAGAAGTACCCTACTCCCTATGGAGGCCGTCTGGTTTGGACTCTTCCCGGAAAAACAAAGTTCATCACTCACCTGAAGGACAAGGATCGCATCCGTCACAGAAAGCGTTGGTCCCAGGTGATGTACATGTACTACTTGCTGGGTCACCGTCTTATGGAGCTGCCCATTTCGGTGGATCGCAAGGATGCCATTGCGGAGAACACCTACCTGCTGACCCTGGACGGAGATATTGACTTTAAGCCTAATGCTGTAACCCTGCTGGTGGATTTGATGAAGAAGAACAAGAACCTGGGTGCCGCCTGTGGTCGTATTCATCCAGTGGGATCAGGCCCCATGGTGTGGTATCAGCTGTTCGAGTATGCCATTGGTCATTGGCTGCAAAAGGCCACGGAGCACATGATTGGCTGTGTGCTCTGTTCACCTGGCTGTTTCTCGCTCTTCAGAGGCAAAGCGCTCATGGATGACAATGTGATGAAGAAGTACACCACCCGATCGGATGAGGCTCGTCATTATGTGCAGTACGATCAGGGCGAGGATCGTTGGCTCTGCACGTTGCTCCTGCAGAGAGGATACCGTGTGGAGTACTCGGCTGCCAGTGATGCCTATACCCACTGCCCCGAGGGCTTCAATGAGTTCTACAACCAGCGACGCAGATGGGTGCCTTCCACTATTGCCAACATCATGGATCTTCTGGCGGACGCAAAGCGCACGATCAAGATTAACGACAACATATCCCTGCTTTACATCTTCTACCAGATGATGTTAATGGGAGGCACCATCCTGGGACCCGGAACCATTTTCCTTATGTTGGTGGGTGCCTTCGTAGCTGCCTTCCGCATCGACAACTGGACCTCCTTCCATTACAACATCGTACCCATCCTGGCCTTCATGTTTATCTGCTTCACCTGCAAATCGAACATCCAATTGTTTGTGGCCCAAGTCCTGTCAACGGCCTATGCCTTGATTATGATGGCGGTAATTGTGGGTACGGCTTTGCAGTTAGGCGAGGATGGAATAGGTTCCCCTTCGGCCATTTTCCTGATATCTATGGTGGGCTCATTCTTCATAGCCGCGTGTTTGCATCCGCAAGAGTTCTGGTGTATAACATGCGGCCTAATCTATCTGCTATCGATCCCATCTATGTACCTGCTGCTCATCCTGTACTCGATCATCAACCTGAATGTCGTCTCCTGGGGAACCCGTGAAGTGGTGGCTAAGAAAACGAAGAAGGAGCTCGAGGCGGAGAAGAAGGCCGCCGAGGAGGCAAAGAAGCGCGTGAAGCAGAAGAGTATGCTGAGCTTCCTACAGAGTGGCATCGGAGATAATGGTGACGAAGAGGGCTCCGTAGAGTTCTCTCTCGCCGGGCTCTTCCGCTGTATATTCTGCACCCATGGAAAGACCTCCGACGAAAAGCAGCAGCTGACCTCCATTGCCGAATCGCTGGACACTATCAAGCACCGAATGGACACCATCGAAAGTGCTGTGGATCCTCACGGTCACCATGCCTCTCGCCACGGAAGAAGGAGAACCACTTCCAGTGGCTCCAAGGATCACCACTTGCTAACCTCGGTGGCAGAAAAGTCCGGAGATGAATCGGACGAATCAGACTCGGACACATCCGCGGAACCAAAGCAGGAGAGAGATTTCCTAACCAACCCCTATTGGATTGAGGATCCGGATGTACGCAAGGGCGAGGTAGACTTTCTGTCTAGCACGGAGATCCAGTTCTGGAAAGATCTCATCGACCAGTATCTGTATCCCATTGATAACGATCCCGTGGAGCAGGTGAGATACCCATTATTTTTACCAATTCTAGGATCAGATTTTCGGAACGTGTCTTAAATCGCAAAATCGTCTTTTGAAATTATTTACAATAATTAACTTATCTCACAGCTGATATCAAAAGGAATACAGTTTTAGCCAGACCCAATAAAGGAATGTCTTAAATTTTTAAATTACAATTATTAAAAACAGCCAAAGTCCGAAAATGTAAAACATTTAAACAGATGATATTGACAGTTAATTTCGAGCTAAGAAGCCATTTATGAATTATAATTTTTTTAGCAAAAAGGACAAATTTAAAGTCCTCTGTTATTTTCAAACAGTAGCTATATATATATACAATTTTATAGTATTTGAGATTTGCATAATTAGTTTCTTGAAAAATCCTAAAGAAAATTACACCTTCGGCTCGCCGAAGCCAGTAATGAAGTTTGCTGTGTGTATTTCCACCGAAAAAGTCCGCAACCCGTAAGAAAACACAACTTAACTTAACCCAATCGCCGCATCGGATAACCCTCTTGTAGGCCCGCATAGCTAAAGATCTCAAGGAACTGCGCGACTCGTCGGTGTTCGCCTTCTTCATGATCAACGCCCTGTTCGTGCTGATCGTGTTCCTGCTGCAGCTGAACAAGGACAACATCCACGTGAAGTGGCCCTTCGGAGTGCGGACGAACATCACCTACGACGAGTCCACCCAGGAGGTAATTGCCCAGTTGCCGGCTAAACTAACACAACTCTTTTGGTTTATTTCTTTCTTTGGCACAACGATCTGAAACGAAATGAAGGCCCGCATTGCCTCCGACCTGATTGAGCTGCGAAACAAGTCGGTTTTCGCGTTTTTCATGGCCAACGCCTTGTTCGTGCTGATTGTCTTCTTGTTGCAACTGAACAAGGACAAATTACACATTGTTTGGCCGTTGGGCGTCAAAACGAACATTACCTATATCGAAGAGACATCTGAGGTTTATAAAACAAACTTAATACGATGTTATACTACCAGTCAGTGTTTTGTCTTCCCTTAAACTTCTGGAAGGGTCCTCTAACTTCCTGCCTGTCCTATGTTTCACTCTAAATGTTTACTACCCGTTCTACATGTCACCCAAATATCACCAAATCAGCTAATGATGTTCTTTGTTCGCGGTTACTCCCGTCTATTGAGCCCCATCCTAATGGTTCAGGCTATATATATCATACGAATACATCATGTAAAAACAACAGAACAACATCTTGGCATTTCAGCGGTTCTAACAGTTAGCCCCCAAACGAAAACACGGTAAACTGTAAGCCATATACTCGTATATCCCCTTCTGAATAATCACTGTTCCGTACACATGCCCAAAGTTATGGCAAGCATGTTCATTGCTCCTCCAACATCAAACAATATGTTCAAATAAATATATATAAACCAACCCGACATATAACCAACCTCCCAAATGGTATCACACCTCAACCTCAACATGCCACAATCACCGATAATTGATATTAAGATCAGCCATTATCCAAGTCCAAAACCGTCAACCAACCAAATCGTTCGATGTCACTAACCCAAAAATGATTCCGCAGGACCTTCTCTAATCCCTTCCTTTACCCCATAGGTCCACATCTCCAAGGAGTATCTGCAGTTGGAGCCCATTGGACTGGTGTTCGTGTTCTTCTTTGCCCTTATTTTGATAATTCAGTTTACGGCCATGTTGTTCCATCGCTTCGGAACCATCTCCCATATCCTGGCCTCAACTGAACTGAACTTCTGCAAGAAAAAATCTGAGGATCTTACACAGGATCAACTAATAGATAAGGTAAGTGTGCTTCAATGAAAGGGTTTTAATACAATCTTTTTTTTTAAGGTTAACACTTTAAACATTCTTTTTCCAAAAAACAAACTATCAAAACGATTTTATAAAATAAAATAAATTATTTCTAATCGTTAACATTTAATGTTCTATCCAGCATGCTGTGGAGATCGTCAAGAACTTGCAGAGACTACAGGGCATCGATGGCGACTACGACAATGATTCCGGTTCAGGTCCAGATCGCATAGCCAGGCGAAAGACCATTCAAAACCTGGAGAAAGCTCGACAACCGCGTCGCCAAATTGGTACCCTGGATGTGGCTTTTAAAAAGCGGTTCCTTAAACTCACAGCCGATGCGGAGAACAATCCGGCCACGCCCATTCTCACCCGCCGCCTCACAATGCGAGCGGAGACCATCAGGGCATTGGAGGTGCGCAAGAACTCGGTGATGGCCGAAAGACGGAAGTCCGCCATGCAGACACTGGGTGCGAAGAACGAGTATGGGATTACCACTGGGGCACCGGTAAGATATGAAGAAATTCTTTTAAAATATTAAAGGCAACGCACTGATTATAATATTACTATATAGATCAATAACAATGGAGCTTTGCCCAATCAGCGAAGCGGACGCGTTTCGAACGCCGGGATCAGCATCAAGGATGTTTTTAATGTAAACGGCGGTGCTGCAGAGGTGAGAAAAAAACCGCATACAGCATTTTAGATAATGAAGTCTAAAACTGTCACAAATTTCAATCTTTTCTCCCACAGCAAATTTACGGCTCGAATGGGGGTGGGACGATCAACCAGGGTTACGAGCACGTTATCGATGAGGATGGCGACGGCAACTCCCTACGACTGACCACCCGGAACCCTCACCCACATCACCAGGTCTCGTGGGGTCAGAACACCAACGGCGGCAATGGCACTGGTCGCCTATGAAGAGCCCTTACATCCTAGACATATTGCTAAGCTAGACGTAGAGAACTTGTTAACGAATTCCGCCTCTTTCCATAAACTGCCTAAACGTAAGACTAAGCCAACACCTACAGTTGTAGTCAGGAGAGATTGTGTTGTATAGTATATATAGGGACGAGAGAGAGATTCAGGACCTAGGAGCAACCTGACGACACAACGAACATTATGCTTAGCTAATCACACTGCCAGTGCCGATGTGTGCATGTGCGTGGGCCGATCGTCCACGGTGGCAACAACATTCATACAATGTACTATACTATCATTTGTTAGGTTATGTTTAAGTCAATCCCCGTGTGGATCCATCCGGACACACGACCAGTGCATGCTGACACAAAATACTCAACGCACAGCTGATTCGTAAGTGCAGCAGTGAGATGACCTATTTATGTATTCGACATAACGAAGATAGTTCTCTTTAAATAAATAATTATTGATGATTTGATGTAATGTGCAACTTTTGATACAGCAAATAAATACCAATATTAAATAGAACCGAGAGAGAACTTACCATAAATTATTGCCGTAAACTCTTTTCGTTTACCTAAGGGAAAACCTTAACATGTAGTACAACAAAAAGGAAAAGGAAAAGTCCATCCTAGGGTTAGACTGACAGGTTTTTGTGTTCGGCTTAGAGCCCTGGTTTAATATGAATAACTTTATTTGTGGGGAAAGGGAAGAAACATTACTAGACTTTGGTTGCGAGACAACATTGATAACCAACTATGGTAGGTAATAGTTTTAGACACCCATATGGAAAACGATAGGTATGGTCGTATACGCTCGAGGTATCAGCGAGCCTACTTAGTGGAAAAGAAGGTTGCCCTTCTTGGCGGCGATGGGCAAGCGATCGCCCTGCAGGAACGGATTCATGACCGCGGCATCCATACGAGGGTCGGGCATTGCCGGGTATCCGGCCTTCTTTACCAGGCTGTTGACGTTGTTTAGGCTGTTTTCCTGGCCCATCTGCAGGATGTACTGCTCGACAGCAGAATTCAAATCGCCCTTCTCCGATCCGGTATCACCACTATCCTGATCCGAGCAGTCGAACATATGCTCATTGTCACAGGTGCAGTCCTGGGCAGCCTGGAATTCACGACTGAAGATGGCCGTGTTCTCGAAGTCCATGATGCAGCTGCCTCCTTGGGTCTCCATGTCGTAGCCCTCGGGGCAGGGGTTGGGAGGATTACAGTAGGCGGGCAGGCCGGCATCGTTCTTCACTATGGTTGGATACCTATTGGGACCTTCTCCCATTCCACCAGAGATGAACTGGTGACCCCACAGCGAGCTGTGCTGCAGGAACTCGTGGTCCCTCAAGGATGGATTTGAGCCAGCTCCAGATGACAGAATGCAGTCGCTTCCCCCGTCACACAACCTAGCGTACTCCGATCGGGAAACTAAATCCACATTATCCTTTGAGCCAGCAGATGCCTCATTGTCCACGTCGTAATATCCCACTTGCATGTCATTGTCCATACGATTGAGCAGATCCGTCAGCAGCGCATCGGCCAAAATGTCCTTAGAGCCATAGGAGTGCACTTGGTAGCCCCTTGAAAGGACCATGAGCAACCCAACCAGCATGTGCACATCTACAAAATCATGGAGTATTCATAAAAAATAGTTATAACCACTTTTTCGGACGACTTACTTTGCGAACAAGAAAACATATTGCGCGATTTCAGCCGCCCACGTAGAAGTTTGGTAAAATATTGATTTTTCGGCAGCAGCTGCTTCAGTTAAGTGTGTATAACAGTGTGACTTTGAGCGCTCCGGTCCGATGTGGCGGCTACCAGTTGAATACGGGGAATATAGAGAAATGCATCCGAGCCCTCTATATAAAGCAGTCAAAGTTGATAACATAACTGAAAACGGCGCATGTGCTGTTCGAAAGCTCATTCATGTTGGGAACGTCCTTTTAAGACCAGAATTACATTAACGCCAATCTACTTGGGCGCAGATTATTAGATTTCTTTTAAAAATTCCAAAATTAGATATTAGAAAAACATACTTTTAAGAATTCTACGCATATGAACTTAAAGGTTACTATACTATAACACAATTTGTTCTAAAACCGCCCTTTATTTTCCATTTTTAATAATTACATACTATACTATTTGTATTCTGAGGTAAAAAATTTAAAAATTAAAAACTTAAATTAATTTTACAAAGAAACCCGAAACCGGTCTATGTCTACCATATGATATTTAGCAAACTGTTAATATCATTCGGAAAAGTAGAATTTCGCTTTTACCTTCATAAGTAAACTCAAAAATTTAAAATATGAGTAAACTTTGTGGAGTTCAATTCTTATTTAATCATATTTGTATTAAGGTAAATTGTTTATTAAAATATTAAAGACTTATTCAACATAAAAACAGTTTTGCTATTCGGTAGAAAGCGCATATCAGCTTTGGCCTATACCACTAAAATAACTGATACAAGCTGACAATAAATTAGGGGTTGTACGATAAGTGCCTTTAACTGTCGAAGATAAGCTCAATTTCATCACGCATCTGTCTGGCCAATCGCTTATGGGGTTGGGTTTTCGTGTGTGCCAGCAGATTCTTTCGAGTTATAAAATCCATATTGCAGGGCTCACACCTGATCCAAAAATCACGATATTTAAATAAATCAGAGCTGAGAAATGATAAATTACCGGAATTTTCGATTATCTTCGCCGTGAGTTAAGCAGTGGTCTTGCAGTTCAGATACGCTACTGAAAATCTTTCCGCACTCCAAGCATGGGTAGGGTCTTTCGTTCTCATGAGCTCTGAAATAATTGAGGGAATTATTTGGGGCAAATTTGCCATTCTTAATTTTTGTACAAAACTAAATACAAACTAGAATTGACATCGAAGAGTAAAAAATAATATAAAGATAGTTCCAATATCCTTACTTTAGATGACGCAGTTTGGCCCCCAGCGAAGAAAAAACTTCCTTGCAGATGGAACACCAGAACCGACGCTGTGCCCCGTGGATATGGTTTTGGTGCTGTTTTAAATGGATCTTTTTGGCAAACGTTTCTGAGCAGTCGGGACAGGGGTGAAACTTCTTCATCTCCCGCCGGTCCACATGCCCCTCTAGATGCTCGTTGTAGAGGTACTCATCATTGTACAGCTGACCACACTCCTCGCAGATGAAAAAGTTCTTGCGCCGCTTAGCTGCTCGTTCCTGCCTTTCCTCTTGGACAACCGCCTGATGGGCCGCCTCTGCGGCGGCCATCACTGAAGCCTGTGGATCATCCTCCTGGTCGTCTTCTTCTAACTCGTCTTCCGTTTCGTTAAGAATCACAAACTCCTCGTCGTTGTTGGATATGTACTGATCCGCATCGATCAACTGCTCATCCAATGGTTCAGGTTCTTTATCTACGTGAACAATGCTAGGATCCTTAGACTTCTTCCGTATATCCAGCAGATACTTTTGCGAGAATATGCACCTCTCGCGAAACTTGGTGGCCAAGTCCAGCTCGGAGAAGCACCGCTCGCAAACAAACTCCGGCAGTCCCTCGTTCATCGTCAGCTGGAATAATCAGATTTTAAGCAAAGATATGCCATGGCACTACCTCTGTCTCACCTGTACACCAGTAATAAGTTTTAGCTGCCCCAGCAATTTGCCGCGCAAATACTTAAATACATTGCGTTGCCGGTTGTGGTCCTTGATTTTATTAGCGCATAAACGGCAGACTTTAGCAATATCCATTGTATATAAAACTGTTTTTGTTTACTCTTTTTTAGTAAAATTTGGTGGCAGCCAATGTTACCAGATTGTTAGTCCTCGCCTAATCCAAATGTAAAAACTACGGATGTGCAAGGTGGCAATACAAAATATCGGGAACTTATTAATATATCGTTATCATTCAAGTCCCGTTTGAGTTATTCAAAATATTATTTCACAACTAAATAATTTTTTTATACATAATAATTCAAAATATTGTTACACAAAGTTGTTTATTAAAAATAATCTCTTTTTCGATTCTTATACTTAGGATATTCAATAAGAAAATAAATTTATTCAGTCGGTTGCTATGGATATTTATTTTTAGTTATTATCTATTATTACAATTTCACGTTTTTTTAATTCTCTAAGGGATATATTATGTTCAAAGGCAACAGTCAAGTTTTCAAGTAGAAAATGATCGGAGAATAGAAAAAAGAAGTTATCGATCGTAGCACAGACTGTTATTTTTGCACATCCCCAATTGCGCGCCTTTATTTTTTTGTGGTTTTGTCAAAAATATTTTAAGTCCAACCCGTTAAACGTTTTCTAAATTTTAAAAAGTCATCTGTGGGTTTTACAAAAACTTAGCATGTCCAGCGAAGCAAGTCTGGCTTCCAAATGGACGCGACCAGATGATGTGGGTACGGATTCGACAAAGCACCTGGCCCCATCTAATGGTATTACTTTAATTTCCAGTTTATAAAGCTGCAGCGGCTGAAGCAAAAGAAGAACAAATTAGCCGCCCGCGTGAGCACCAATAACAATAAACGACCTGGAATCCAGGTGGATGAGACTGATAAGACCAAACTACTAGAGGCTAAACTAGCCCAGAAGCGAAAGAATCCATTTGCGAAGTAGGTTAGCCACATTGTCCAGAAATCCAATAACACAGTCTTTTCCGAAGGCCCACAGAAAATGCGAAAAAGCTGCGGATAGATCCAGAAGTGCCGGACATCGAACCGGTGGTCACAGCGTCGTCCTGTTTTGTGCGGGAAACTCCTACTCGTCCACCCCCCGCTAAGTTCGTGCTTCAAAAGTATGATCCCCAGGCCTTTGCCAAAATTTTCCAGCAGCCCCAAATCAACGCGGAAGATGAGGACGACGCGGAGTTAGCCGCCCGACAGAAGCATACAGCCCACCTGCCCGTGGACTGGTCTCTAAAAACGCGGGCCCGCTTCTTCTGTCCAACAGAGCTGCCAGCCATCCAGCTGAAGACCTCGCAACTGGCTAGCGGGCTCACAAGTTTTGTGCGCTGCATGGATCCGCAGCGCACAGAGAGCACGCTGGATATATCAGACGCAACGCGGTTCAACCAGTGCACCTACTATTGGCAGCATCCCCACTTGCCCTGGATGACCCTCTTCCCGCGCACCGCTAAGGAGAACGTGGGAGTAGTCGTGGGCGAAAGAGAGCGAAAGGCTCTGGCCGAGGAGTGGGACTACAGTTTTCGGGGATTGTTCCAGCTTCTTCGTGCTCGCCAGTGCCCTTACTTTTATCTGTGTGCCAATACCTTTACGGTGCTGTTCCGAGCTGCCGGAGTGGGCGGTCGAGCAGAAAGCCACGCCCTGGTAACGCCATCAACGAGAGGAATGCGCCAGGCTCTCCGGCAGGATGGGATTGAATTTAGCATGCCTTTGAAAAGTGAGGTAAATGGAAATGTTCATGACAATAGCTTTAACGAGGAAACGACTAGCAGCTCCTTAGGGCCAGAAGCAGGTGAAGAAACTCTTTTGCCGGCCCAGGAAGATGAAGACGACGACGATGAATGGCTGGAGAGCTTAGGTGTGGACGAGCGCGAGCTGCGACGCATTCAATCCTCGCATGCCAGGAAACAGCAGGCTGCTGAAATGCGAGAGGATTTTAGCGACAACTCTCTGCTCCTCGTCGATGGTGTAGAGTGCCAGGGCTTCTTCAGTTACCTCCTAAATGCTAAGAGCGCCATTAGCACAGTAGGCCGTCTGGCCGGAGTGCCTCCCACTCTGCTGTCGCCAGTGGCCTTCCCCAAGGCTACTATGCAACATTTAGTTCCACGGTCCAAAAAAGTGCGCCTTGACGGCGTGGACTACTTTAGCGTAGATATAAAGGGACTGATCCTGCCTACATTCCTACCAAGCGTGTCGGAGTTGTTATGCGAGACGCGTCAGATGTTCAGCTCCACACTGGCCAGTAGCATCAATACGCTGGCCTTTAGCAAGGCCACACAAAAGCTACTTGAAAGCCCGGAGATGCCACAGCCGGATGGAGAAGGAGAAGATGCCGCCGGGCAGGTCTTTGGCGAGCAGAATCTTTCAGAGTGTGGCCTGCTGCCTGGAGTAGTGGGTTCCATCTGCCGCACTGGTCAACATGCCGTAGGTCTTCTGGAGCGCGTTTGCTACCAAAGGGGCGAGGGATATGCATGGAGTTAAGGATTGTCTTTCACACATGGGATTGCATTCGTAAGCAGCTCGATTTGTTGCATTATTCTTAATCTGTACATTTTGTTATGTGAAATAAAATATTGTGCTAGCTAAACGTTAATGGTAGGTCAGTGGCCTAATGAAAATGCATTGGTTTCCCTCAAATGAAGAGAGACTGGAAAACAAATTCCTAATGATGTTAAACAGGTTCATATGTATATTAATACATTAATGGTCTTTAGCTTATTTTCTGCGTTGCTAAAACTCTGTAAACCACAAATCGTATATCCAGATGAAAGTTAACTATAAACAGATTCGAAAGTTACTGCTGATCTGCAGATGCGGGATGTTGAATTAGGTACCGAGTAGCGATTTTTGACTGCAGTTAAAGTAAAAGCTGATTTGTTCTTAATCTTAGTCTGTATATTTCATTATGTGTAGTTAATTGTCTATTAGCTAATTGTCCACCATGATCAGTTCGTCGATGCTCCAGTCCTCGTAGGAGTGATCCGGCAGGTATCGGCGGATGATAATGGGGATCTTCTTCTGCTTGAGTTCCTTCATGGCTATCTGCAGAGGATCCGTCTCCCCGTCCAGTTCCACCATAATGGGAGCGCACATAGCGATCTGAAGAGCTCGTGTGCCAAGAACTCTGGCGCGCTCATATTTCGTCATGTACTTCGTGGTAATTCGCTTGGACTTGGGAACACCTCCGCCACCCGCTCCTCCAGGGGCTATGATCTCGATGTTATCCGCCTCCTCTTCCTGGTTAATGTCCTCATCCACGTCCTCGTCAACATCATCGAAGTCGTCACCGCCAACGCTGGAATGAGTATAATTCGGCATTGAGAGGACTGGAATCCGGGATATTATTCTTTACTAACTCATCATTATCGTAGTCTGCATCATCCATTATGGGTTTTCTGTGTTGTTACTAATAAAATAATACAAATCCGGCGTGTTTTGCACGCGTCGCTGACTCTTCTTCTTTCCCACTAATACAAGCGCTTTGCAACACTGAACTATTGTGCTAAGCAATACCAGTGCTTCTCAAACGCTTAGGGCTGCATTCCGATTGCTACAATGATAAATAAGGTGGTTATACATATCTTTAAACTGTATGTATGTACTGTAATTAAATAAATATATAAATATAATTAAATAAAAAAAAAATAAATTACATCTTTTCTAAGTAGGTTGCGGGGATAAAGATAAATTTAGCTAATCGTTAGTAATATTTTTGTTTATTATAATAATATTATATGTTATCTTTCGTATTATATGTGCTTACTAAGATTTGTAGTTCATTTGCTACTCACAGTTTAGTCTATTTCCTTAGCAATAAATCCCTATTTTATCATTTGTATGGACACTTCACATACTCGATTTCTCCATCATCTGTGGAAAATCTTGAATTTAGATTTAGTCAGCGAGAAATATTTTTAATATGCAAACCATAAGATCCCGGATGGGTTCTATGCTGATAAGGTCGTTGCGAAGATTGATGTGGTGGCTGGCTTCTAGGTGCATATTCTGCGGAAGGGGGGTGATATGCGGCGGGTGGTGATACATATGAGGGGGGAGGAGGTGGATATGTGGAGAGTGGAGGTGGTGGATATGCTGACGGAGGAGGTGGATATGTCGAGGGAGGGGGTGGATATACGGGGGGAAGATATCCGGGAGAACTTTGAGTAGGTGGATATCCGGGATGATGTTGGGGAGGAGCCTTGGAAGCTCGATAAGTCCTGTCGCGAGGTGGATATTCCGGTTCGTAATCGTAGTCTACACATGTGCGAATGGAAACGTTTCGTCTCCTACCTCCAGGACCTTGATTGGTTGCCTCTCTATCAAATCGGTTAATGTCAAAGTTGGCCAGCGGATCTACTTCTGGTATTCGCGTACTTCTAGGACGGCGCGGATAGTATACATCGTGCACATCCTCACAGGTTTCATTTATTGCTTGAACAGCAGGTTCGAAGGATCTCCCCGAGTCGCTGTAAGGGACCTCAACTTGTCGCTCTGGCGGAATAGGGAGTGGCTCTCCCGGAGTTGGTGCTGCTGTCCTGGCATAATGCACTTTGCGGTCTTCGCAATCGCATCTTGCGCCCAACGGGTGAAGACACATTTGCTTTGTTCTTAGAAGCTCAGGTACGGGGTATGCATCCGGGTGACAGGCTTTTACCCTCCGCTGTCCCTGTCCGCCACTTTCGTTTCCGGGGCAATTGAAACATCGCTGGGTCTTATTTCCGGAACTGCAGCAAGCTCTCTGCCTTGTAGTTCCTGGTGGTGAGCCACAGCAGCATCGTTGACGGGGCTTAAGGTCTGTACTAGCAGCCGGAGGGCTAGATGTGGTCGTCGCCGTCGTCGTAGTTTGTGGACAATAGCACCGGGTTTCCTCATCGAGGACACCCACTCCCCTTGGAGGCCTTTGAGAGCGAATCACGAAACAGTGCCGACTGCGATTCCTGTCTGGGTTCCGGTGGCTTCCATGAAAAATTTCCTCCTCGCTGCGAGCATGCGATGGCCTCCGACCCACTTGACTGGAGCTCGGAGTGTTCCCTGTCCAAAAAAACATTAGTTATGCAATGGCCAAAAAACATTTTTACTTGCCCATTATAGTCACATTGGCATTATTGACCCGAAAAGCAGGGCGAAACTGAAAATTTAGCTAGACCGAAATATTGGTGTACTGTCATGTTGTGAGTGTTTTTGGCCTGAGTAGCCTGTTTAGTAGCGCCTGCTGGGATCCATTCTCATCAAGCTTGCCCCTTACTGGATTACACACTTCTTCTGCTTCTTTTGTGAGCGGCAGTGACCACAGGGGTTCTGTCCCTGGCCCTTATGGTGATAGGGCTTCGGTCCTCTGGGCATGCTCTGACCGCAAGTCACGTTGGCGTGGGTGGGCGGTTGCTGCTGGGTGGGGGCACCCTGCGGACCCACCGGCGGGGCGCAGTAGCACTCCACCTTGGCCGGCTGCTCGCGACAAGTGCAGCGAGTCTCCATGACGGGTGGTTGCTCCCGAGGACCGCGGCTACAGGTAATGTGGTCCGCCTGGATTGTTTGTTGACCGCGCACTCGATTATGTGTACAGGTGCACTCCACGGTCTGAGGTCCTCGATTCTGAGGTCCCCGATTCACGTTACATGATGCAGGGTCACCCTGTGGCTGATACGAGGTCACCTGGCATCCACCTGCCGCTGGAGCTTGTCTTGGTGCTTGGCTTGGAGCTGGACAACCACACGCCCCTTGAGCACGAGGCGGCGTATAAGGACAGCTGTCCGGTTGCTGATGTTGCGGCTGCTGGTCGTACGACGGGGGTGGCCGGTGGGGTGGTTGTTGCGGGGGCTGTCCACCGCCACTGGTGCCACAAGGACAGTCGACGCACTTGCCACACGGAGACGCTGCCGGCGAAAGGAATTAGGAGTCTGCAATTGGCGATTTTATACCCATTCGATACTCACACATTTTCCCAAAATCTAGGTTTAAATTGATTCTCCCTACAGGCTGAGCTACAAACGAATAAATTTAATTTGACAATTCCGGACAGAGATCTATAGTCATTCTTGTTCTAAAATGATCAATTTCGCAATGAGCACAAGAATCAAACTACAAAAAATTGAATAGGTATGATTCCATGTATTGTAAGCTTAAGTTGGAGATTAGGACTGATCTGCTTCACCTATTTTTTTTCTCTCTGTTTTTTGTGAGCATTTGCGACTTCTTTTTACTTGCTTGCAGACAACGACAGCGTGCGGTCTTAAAATAAATATTCTAGAATACAGTTGAGGTGATTAATTATTGGGCAAATCGGGCTGCAATAATACTTAAGTGTATTCAATTGAAATATATTAACTTTATTAGTTAGGAATCAGCTTTTATACCACATATTTTTAAAAGCGAATCCGGATAGCTCATCTTTTTTTTTATAGTTTTTATTATACCCGTTACTCGTAGAGTAAAAGGGTATATTGGATTCGTTGAAAAGTCGAAGGAAGCGTTTCCGATATAAAGGGTGACAATAAATAACCCGGACAAACATTTTTGATCATAACTTATTAAGGAACTGTATTTGAGAAAAAATGTTAACATATATTCAGCCGGTTTCGAAGTGGCTTCCTTGGGCTGCGATGCCCTAAACGTTTCTGGAAATTTAGAGCAATGGGCCGCAGGTCTTCTTCCGATAATCGATCCCATTTTGGGAGCAATGATTGCTTCAGCGCCTCCAAACTGAAGTGGCGTTTAGCATATGCCCTGAACTCCAAAATAGAGCACACACTGTAGTCCATCGCATTAAGATCTGGCGAGTAAGGTGGCCATTCACTGGATGTGATAAAGTCCGGAAAATTGGCTTTGCACCAGTCCTGAGTCAATTTGGCTCTATGGGCTGGCGCTGAATCCTGTTGAAACGTCCACTCCGTATCACCGAAGTGCTGCTGGGCCCAAGGAAGCACAACAGTTTCCAAAATGTTCCGGCGGTTCACTTCCTGATTGATATTGACCCCTTGATCGATGAAAACAAGGGGTGTTTTACCTGTGGCGCATATTCCTCCGCAAACCATTAAAGACTGCTCACATTGACGGTGCTCGATTATTGCAGAGGTACCTTGAGCTTTATCCGAACAGCTTCTGTCATTTTGGTGATTGTGCGTCTGTTGGATGGTGAATATCTTCTCGTCCGTAACGCTTTACCTGACGGCATCTTTGGAGTCTCACGCCCTTATTGTCATCCGTAAGAACATGCACTTCTTGGAGCTTGTAGGGCTTGAGATTAAGTTCATTTTTTGCAGGGTTATTTATTGTCACCCTGTATATTCTTGAGCAGTATCAATAGCGAATACGAGTAAGCTGAGATTTTAAGAACTATAAGAGATACAAAGTTTAGATTAAGCAGGCAGATTCTTGAGGCCCTACGTAGCGCAAGTTTATTTCAGCATCCTGTCACGCCCACTCTTACGCCCATAAATTACGAAAAACCGCTGAAATCTGAGAAACTATCAGAGCTAGAAAATTGGGATTAAGTTAGTATAATAATATATTTACTATACCATTATACGGCCACGCTCTCTCTTACGGCCGCCAAGCTCGAAAGACTATTTTCGCTTTTTATAGAAAGGCTGATATCTCGAAACTATAAGTGATAGAGAGTTGGAATTTAGTAGTTATGTATTTTCCAACGACGTCCGAAATGCGTATTATTCTTACGCCATATGGCCATGCCCGTTCTAACGCCCAAAAAACGCGGAAAACTAAAAATGCGAAGATCACTGGATAGATAGAAAGTTAGGCTTAGGAATACTTATTTTAGAGATGTCACTGCAGGTTGACAGGTCATCCGGCCACGCTCACTTTAACGCCCCAAAACCGCGGAAATCTGTGCCGTTATATTAAAATGTATGTTTTCGTTTGACCTTTTATAACATATTTTTTGTCAATATCTATAGATTTGCCAAAGATATTTAATACAGAACATTATTTCGGTATTTATGAATAAATGTAGTTATAAGGCCCCACAAGGACAAAAGGTGTGGCTTTGTTCATTTCCACTATCAAAATTAATATTTTCAAATTGTGTAAAACAGTGACCGATATGTTAAAGCCGCGGCACGCGACTCTTATAGTTCCTGAGATCTTAGCGTTCATACGGACATACGGACAGCCTGGCAGACGGACGTGGCTTAATCGACTTCGCTGTTGATATATATACTTTTTAATTCCATCGTTTCCTCATCTGGATGCCCACACACCGCTAATAACTTTGGTCCCAGTGATCTTGGATATATCAGCGACTTACTAACAGTAAACTTTTAGGTGAAGATGTGAAAAAGTCCGTGTTTAGTCCGGTTCATAAATGAGATGATTTAGCTTACAGGAAAAACATTCGAGGAATCGATGGCAATCTATCTAAATTTTCACATTCGAGAAACGATCAACAAGGATTTCGAAAACGCTACTGTGACCCATGTACAGCGCGAGCCCAACCAGAAGCAAATACTCATAAAAGCCCAGGTTCCGCTGTTCCGCTGTTCCGCTTCACTAAACTTCCAGGACTTCGGCGTTACTCTCACCCTGAAGATGATAATGGAGTACAAAAACAACAAGCGGTATCTGAAGGTCTACGATCCAGTTCCAACCATTGATTTCGATCGGTAAGTGCGAAGTCTAAAAGTAAGTACATAATTATATTTCCATTCGCGAAAAAGAAGTATCTCCTAACATAGATGTTTGCCATATTTGTCGTTTTAATTTACTTTTCAAATAATATATATTTCCTTTTCTTATTTTTTCCTAGTTTGATAATTTGGTTTGATAATATGTTTAAGGAAGGAAGGATACAGCCGTAAACGCGGTTGTCAACCGGCACTGGGTCACTTTTTGGCGATATATTTCAGCCCGATCTTTGATAAGGTTATTATAACTAAGGTGTTTTCCCTATTATAAATTAGTGTTTAGTAACTTTCATTATTATTGCTTGTGATAAAAATAAGAATTGTTGTTTCTAAGCTGTAATATCATATTTGTGGTAACGTAGATTTTAATGAAATAAACCTGAAAACCTAAAAATTAGAAAAGGGATGTAAATTATTATTGTCCACCGTGGAAATAGCCTATTAGCGTCCAACTACATAGTAAAAGTCAATATATCGATAGTACTATCGATGATTTTGCAGATCCTCTGTCTCTTTCTTTTCCCATGCTCAATGATGAAATTAGATTAGTCCCGACCAGTTTGTTTTCGTTCGCTCAAGTGGCAGTTGGTTTTATTTATCAGCGGTTAAACTTCAAACTAAATTTGGGCGCGCGTTTAATACGCTACAAATAGACGTGAGTATTTTGAGGGACCTAAATTGGACACAATCATATTAATTAGATTCAAGTATAGGATTAGATTACATTTGTGTGGAATATTGCCTTTTTAACCATTCCTCTTTAAATCTGTTAATTTCAAATAAATTCCTGATACATACGATATTATTATTTCTCTTTCACTCTTAAGTAGAGTCAGCAAGACACTAGATCAGTGCAGGTAAGTGTACAAGAATGGGCAAGGTCAAACGGCAGTTATACTTTCCCATTTCACTTTCCTAAGTTCCATCTCTATAGCGCCAACTGCTCTACTTCTGTCTTTTTTCTGAAATGCTTCTGGTTAAAGCTACTTTCACCAGTTCCTTTTTACAAAGGTAAGCAAGGGAACGTCCATGGTTTGAAAAACTTGAGAGTTCTCTTCATTTGCTGACTCTGCTTAAGTGGGAACTAACCAATTCCCGTTATGGACTGTTTCCTCCGCACTACAAACAAATGTTTAATTTCTAGCGAATTTGCATTGTTTATATGTTACTTTATCTGTTAATTAATTGTGTACTAACAATTTGAAAGAATAACTTCTATTTTATCAATCTTTGTTTTGCTCAGCCATTTCGTTTCATTTTCTTTGTCTACCTTCTCCTTTTCGTGTTCGGTTTATTTCACAACCGACCCCAATAGCATGCGAGCGAGCGAGACAGATAATGATTCACTCGGTGATTTCACCATACACACGCATACATATGTATGTTATTTTCATACTGTTGCACCGAGTATTATAATTTTTGGCAGAAGTTTGTAACGCAGTGAAGTTGAATTTTTTGACCCTAAGAGTTTTAGTATACACATGGCGATACATATACGAACGTTAATTTATACAGATGCCTTATGATGCATTCTGACGACTTTCGGTAGCGTAAAAACAAATAATTCAATAATCTTTTAGATATAACTTAAATTAAGGTGTATTTAATTAAATATTTTTTAAATTAATGTCTATGCACTTAATTCATTCCACAGTACTTTTTTTCAACTTGCCAATATAGGGTCGTAAATACTTTTATTTCTTTTACTCGTAGAGTAAAAGTGTATACTGTATTCGTCGAAAAGTGTGTAACAGACAGAATGAATAGTTTCCTACCCTATAAAGTATACATACTCGTATGTATGTATGTATGTTCTTGATTAGAATCAAAAACCAAGACTATGCACGCCCGTCTGTCTGTACGAACGCTGAGATGTAATAAGTTTATTACAGTCGCGACATGCGGCTATAGAGTTCGGTCCTGTCTACCCCAAATTTAATTTTAGTTCTTTTTCAACGGCAATGAATATGATTGAATTCATTAAACTCGTAAATTAAGGAATTTTTCTTTTCTCATACAGATTCCTACATCGTGCACCAACAAAATCGGGGAAGAGATGTTTATTGAGACGGATATTCTGAAATTTGAAACATATGAGATGGATACATTAGACTTAGAGATATATGAAAAAGAACGGCAGGGCAAGAGGTACCAATACCCCTTCGTTCTGGCGGACAGCGTGTGGTACTACAAGAATGATGCCACCCAGATCTCCGAGGGGTCTATTGACGTCTTTGGAAAAGCCAATGGGCCTCCCTTCTGCGCTGACTTTGCAGCCACACCAGCTCCCATCCAAATCAATAGCGTAAGTTACATACATACACACATATGTATGTATATAATAAAAAAATTATACCCGTTACTTATTAATATATATAATATAGTATATTAGATTCGTTTAATGTAACAGGTAGAGGAAAGCGTTTCCGACCCTATAAAGTATATATATTCTTGATCAGGATCAATAGCAAGGTCGATTAAGCCATGTCATTCTGTCCGTCCGTCTGTCCGTATGAACGCTGAGTTCTCAGGAACTATAAGAGAAACAAAGTTGCCACGCCTACTATAACGCCCACAAATCACGAAAAACTAAAATTGCGCCCACCAAGGTCAAAAGACGGTTTTCGCTTTTTGTAGAAACGCTGAGAACTTGTTAACTATGTATATGTGATAGAAATTTGGAATTAAGCCTGTATTTTTAATGATGCCCCCAATGCGTATTTTGACTACGCCCACGAAATGCGGAAAACCAAAAACGCTTAAATCTCTCTAAACTATAAGAGCTAGGGAGTTCGGATTTGACATGCATATTTTTGAGATGAAACCGCAGCTCAAAGTGGTGTTTTTCATGCAGCAACGCGGACTATAAAGCCCACAAACCGCGTAAAACTGTAGCATCCATTATATTAAAATGTATGTCCTCGTTTGAATTTGTATAATATTTCTAGTTTATATTTCTAGTTTATTTTTCAAATCGGAGCCTTTTTTTGCTATTTATTAAGAAATGTAGGCTATAATGCCTCACAGGACATTGAGATCACCATTAGTTACTCAGCATTCTTTTTCTGACAAAAGGTGGCGCTTGTAAATTTCTATTAGCAAAATTAATATTTTAAAATTATATAGAACAGTTACGTCGCGGCACTCGACTATACCGTTTCTTCTTGTTTTTATTTTTGGAAGCAATAAGGCTGTCAAAATTTCATGACCTATTTAAAAATCTGTCTGTTTTTTATTTACAGTTAAAGGTCGCTAATGTCCCCAGCAATTCTAAAGCTGAAATCAAAAATTATGTTAGCATTAGCTTCACGCTTCAGCAATCTGCTTCGACAACACCGACATCCAGCACCACCCAGAAGCCATTGAGCATCAATGTGCCCAGGAACACAAAATCCCTTTTGAATTTGAAAATGGTAAGTTTTAGTCAAAAAAAAAAACATATTTTTTCTTCAGTAGTGAGTAATTAAAAAATAAAGAAAATTTTATCTTTGGTGTGGCCTAACCCTCTTAGATTAATTTTATTTTCTTTCACTCTGCAATTCACAGCTAGAGACTGTGAGCAATAGTACCAGCGCTATAAATACCATCACCGAAGCGGAAATTGTAGGCGATATAAACTATTCTGAAGATAAAAACACCACCTATTTCCCTCTGTCGAACTCCCCGAGCAGTAGCAGCTACTCATCCATATGTAGCGTTCCAGCCACTAAATCCGACTCGCCCAATACCTCCCAGCAGAGCAACCCACCAACTAGCAAATCTAACGGCAACCAAAAACGAAGCAGTTCTCTCCAGAAAAAGAAATTGAGCAACCAGAAACGCGGACGTCCTCCTAAGAAACATGCTGACGAACCCGATCTCGAACTCATGAAGCGCATGAACGAAAATGAGAGAAGTGCCTACGGTAAAAGGTTGGCTAATAACGAGGCCAGCCGTATCTCGCGCCGGAAGATAAGAAATCGCCAGGAGGAGGAAAAGATAATAGAGTTGGATCTTGTGGCCGAAAATATTCGTCTGCGCTCTTGGGCCCTTGAAGTGGCATCCCATGAACGCAAGTTAAAAGACTTCCTGATTAAGAAAACGGCAAGCTCCTTCAGGCAGGAGCAGCATTGAAATTCTCATAAATGTTATATGTTGACTGTCGCCCATGGCTGTTGTTTATTTACCTAAGCTCCCCCTAAAATGCAAAAGGCTGAAAATTTATGACTCCCATAAATTATTTTTAGTAAAAGTTGTTGTAATCAACACTACAATATGTAACTCATAAATACAGTTTTTGAAGTCCAATTGTTCGTTATGTTTTCAACAGTTCATAATTTTTGAAGCAATCCATGCGCATCTGAACACAGAACCCTAAACATGGATCAATGATTTCAGAGACGTTATGGTTTCGTCCATTGCTATTAAACCATATAGAACCGGTTTGGGTAAGTTTACTTTTGCAATCACACCTTTCAGTGACGCTCAATATCGTCACGAGAGAGAGAGAGAGATTTTTATGTGCTGAACTTGCAACAGACTCGGGGACATCACACCTCTAAACCTGTAAAATAAAGAATGTGCTCTAACGGATCTGTCTTATGCACACTAATGAAAGCTATGAACTCAGCATCAATATAGAAATGAAGTAAACGATCAACATAAACACAGTCTGAGAGACAAAACATGCTTTCCTAAAGAAGAAAGTTGATTAAAAACAAGAAGAAACGCTATAGTCGAGTGCCACGACTATAAGATACCCTTTACTGTTTTACACAATTTTAAAATATTCGTTTTGCTAGTGGAAATTTATAAAGCGCCACCTATCGTCAGAGAAAGCATGTCACTGTAAACTTGCGCTGCGTATGGTCCTTAAGAATCTCAACTTTGGATCTCTTATAGTTACAGAGACCTCAGCGTTCATAAGGACGGTCGGACAGGCGGACATGGCTCAATCGCCTTCGCTGTTAATCCTGATCAAAAATAAATATACTTTATAGGGTCTGAAACGCCTTCTTCTATCTGTTACATACTTTTCAACGAATCTAAAATATGCATCAAAAAAATAGTCATCAAAATATGTCTCTCCCATCTTATTTACCAATCCACTTCATACTGAAATTTCGCAGAAACCCAGAAATTCGAGCTTAATAAAGCTCTGTTAAAAAACAGTCAAGTTCAACCTAAAGCGAACTTTATACTTCGACGACATCTTAATATTTCAATATCAATATTCAATATTTCACCCACTTCAGCCCACGACCGAAAGTGGCGATGGTAATTTGGAAGTCGATAGCATTGATGCCCACGCTTCTGATCTTAACAAGAAAATAAAAGAAGACACTCTGTAGTCGAACGGCGCGACTATAAGATACCCGTTACTGTTATATATAAATATATATATGAATATTCATTTTGCTAGTGGAAATGGATAAAGCGCCACCTTTTGCCAAGAAAGCATGTTTACTAACTGATGGTGATTAAGTTACGAAAAAAAAGTCTATTTGCTTAGAATAATATACGTTGCATTTAAAAATCAGTCAGCTGTTCGCTGATCAGAAACGTTGACTTTTTGGCGCGCTAAATAAAAGCACATTTTAAAGTAAAATTGAAAAGTTCTTAACATTTTAAATCAAAGTAAAGTGAAAACTATTGGTGGAGGTTTGTACAATTTGAGTGTTTAATGCAATATTTATGAAATGTGATTTGTCTTTGTGTATGTGTGCTTTTGTACAGTTGTATATTTAACAAATTTTAACCTATCATTTTTCGTGTTTCGAGGAACAAAAGTAGGTTGGATTATGCCGGATTATATCAATTATTTACAATACGTTACTTTTTGCTAAACAACATAGACCTATGTTATGCAGATATGCTAGAGTATTGGCTGGCACATGGACGCGAAACCGACAGCCTTGACAACTTTGTGTTGCAGTATCGAGGATCCTTCGAAAAAGAGGATTAAGAACTTTGTTGCTTATCTTGATGCTGGAATAAAAAATGATCTCCGATAGTTGCCTAGGCGAAAATGCATCCGAAGCTCGGAACAAAATTTATAAAATTGATAGACGTTCGCATGTAAGACAAAATAGTCGCTTAAACACCATGACTGACGTTTTTCCAGCATCCACATCATGTCGATTTCCTAAATAGTTATCCTACTACAGATAACGATGATGAAGATGATTTATATACATTTGAATGTATCGATGACTATTCATTGAATTAGATGTTGAAAGTGACTAAAAATTAACTAAGTAAATTTAGTTTATTTAGTTTGGAAGTTGAATATTGGTAGGGCGTGAGGGAATAGGGGGTTGAGGGGATATTTACTAAAGGTTTTTTACATATATTTCAAATTTATTGGATATATTGGCCCAATTTTCATGGATGTTTTGTAAATTTTTATCCCAGGGTGCATTGGTTTCTATGGGGCGGAAAGGAAGGCGTGGCCCGATCGGCACAGACTTTGCATATATAATAACTATATAGTGTGCCAAGTTTCAAGTCAGTAGCTTCATTTTTCTAGTTTATGCAAAAATATTGGGCATTGGGCCCAGTGTGTAATGTACCGATTTGAAAAATCTTTGGTAAATAGAAATATTTTACAAAGTCAAAATAAGAAATACATTTTAATATTATGAGCTCCACAGTTTTCCGCGGTTAGTGGGCGTTATAGTGATATAGTGGGCGTCATACTCATACACATACTCATACTCATACGGACAGACATACGGACGTACAGACGGACAAACGGACATGGCTTAATCGACTTTGCTATTACGACTGATCAACAATATATATACTTTATAATCGGAAACGCTTCCTTCTACCTGTTACATACTTTTTAACGAATGTAATATATCCTTTTACTCTACGAGTAATGGGTATAAAAACCAGAATATACTATATGAAAGTTGGAAGTCCAAATCTAATTAAGGAAAAAATTAAAATTAATATGTCCGTAATAACTAAAAGCGTCTACATTAAATAGGCAATAGTTAGAGTTCTGCATTTGAACAACATGTATGCTACCTGATCGAAATTCCAGTTAAATAGATTGCTAAACATGTTTGGTACTCTTAATGAGAACGTAATAAAAATGTACGAATAAAAATGTCCACTGGCGAATGTTAATCTTGCTTATATTATTATATTAATAACCAATTAAACAAACACCTCTTTCGAAGTGATCTGCTTTAAAATGGAATTGGAAAAGTTACTGAGAAATTTCAAATGGAAAGATTAAGTAAGTAAGTAATTAATTTCGTACAGTGAAAAAGCAGAAAACATAATAAAGCTAAAAAGACGAAGCTCTAATTGAGCCACTCCAGATAGGAATCCTAAGCTTAAAAGACAAGCATCAATGAAGAATCAGCTTGAAGAAAAATAAACGCTTTAGAAAAAGAGTGAAACAATGGGAAAGAACTAAAGACTTTAACAATGTAAGTAGGCACATATTCACTACTAGGGTGTACTTTGCTCAGCCACAGGTAATGGGCAGTAAAATTTCCAAGTGACCCTTCCAACACTTAACAAACAACCCTAAAACTGCGCACACCTGGCACCGTGCTAAATTGTTTGATTTTCACACGATTTTTTTTTAGAAGATATCATCATTTAAAGATGTATGTACATATGTATATACTAAATGTCGCATATTACTTTGTATATTCATATTATAACGATGTCGATGTTGGTAAACATGCTCGCGAACTTGAATTTCACCACCAACTAGTGCCAACATGCTCGAGAACATTTGTCGGCAAATTTTCAAGCAGTCAACATGTCAGCGGACGACGACAGCTGCACTGTAATTGCACTGATGGCAATAAATACGATCGTCTTACAGCGACTTTGCGGTTTTTAACTAGTGGCCAAAGTTATGAAGACCTGAAATTCTTAACACGAATTTCTCCCCAGAGGCTTGGGCACATAATAATTGAAACGTGTCGAGCGATAATTAAAAAGCTAAAGCCTTATATCAAGGTAAAAATTTTTTATTATTTACATTTTGTAAAACTACATATGTATTGGTTTATAAATATTCATCGCTGTTAAATAAATTTGCAACTTTTTTTTTTTTTTTTTTTTTTATTTGGAATGCTTGCAATGCTTGACACCCTTTGATACGTCAGCATATTCATACGGCCTTGCATAAGGAGTTCGTCTATGCCTTTCTTGGCAAAAAGCTGCTGCTCCTTTGACAACTGCTTGAAAATGGCAGCCCATCCTTCAGCATATATGTCAGCTTCACATTTTGGTTGCTTTTCGCTGATGTTGTCCAAGTGCGCTACTGCCTTCTGTAGGAACTCCGAGGATTCATCATGTTTTCGTTTCGGCTAAAAAATAATGTAGACAATTAATTACGTATGTTATATTATATAATTTTAGATACCAAATAAGGTATTGCTTATAATTTTATTAAAATATTAACTATTGCATTTTCCTCGCCGTCATCAAAACTGGTGATTCCATCGACCGAGGATTCTGTTTCATACAGAAAAGAAATGTCGCTGAAGTACCAAAGACTTGGCTGGTACACATCGTCCGTTCCAGCGCCAGATTCTTCACTTCTCTTTATTTTTCGTATTTCTCGTCTATATGAAGCCCGCAACGAGTTCACTTTTTTTTTAACTTCGTCTATTGTGGCGCGCTCATCGATTTCTTTGTATTTATCTAATATTTTTATTTTTTATTTTTATACGCCTCGCAAGTTGCATTCCACACAGCAGGCTCATTTTGTAAAAAAAAAATAAATTCTTGCAGAAATTTTTTGCTTATTTTGCGCTCTGCAAACACGTCTTCTCTCTACGAACCTATCTTACAAATGATGTTCGTGCCAACGTTGCCATCCATTGTCGAGAATGTTGTTGCGAACATGGACAAAATAGAATGATTTCAATTTTATGTGAAATTGTTCGCGAACACGAAATTTGACGACGAACACTACCATCCACGAGAAAAACTTCGGCGAGCATAACATGCTCGCGAACATGCTCGCCTGTGGATGGTCTGCTTTACCGTGTAGGCTTAGAGTGTAAACTAAGAGAGGAAGAGTGTAAACTGAAGAGTGCTTCCTTAAGATCCTAAATAGGGGTTCGCGTCAACATTCCAGGTACGATTAGTACAACTTTCTCATGGAAAGGTGGTGCATTCGCCAACCTTAAGTATACGGAATTAAATATCAAAATTTAAGTTCTGTAAACAGTAAGTAGATCCTTACTTAAAAAAATTTCATTATAACAAGATTCTATTTAAAATAAGTATACCACTGATTACATGTGGAGTTTTCTTTATTTTTTCGCGCGATTTACGAAATAAGAAGAAACGATATAGTGGAATGCCGCGACTATAAGATACCCGTTACTGTTTACACGATTTTAAAATATTCATTTTGCTAGAGGAAATTCATAAAGCGCCACCTATAGTCAGGCCTTATACCCTACATTTCTTCATAAATAGCGAAATAAAGTTCTGATTTGAAAAATCTTTGGTAAATCGATAGATATTGACCAAAATATATCATACAAGGTCAAACGAAGGCATTCATAATAATATTATAGACGCCACAGTTTTCCGCGGTTTGTGGGTGTTAGAGTGGGTGTGGCCAGATAAAAACTCGTGTCGAGATACAGTGGTATCTCTTAAATACTTTCTAGCTCTGATAGTTCCTGAGATTTTTGGATTTTTGGTTTTCCGGGTTTTGTGGGCGTCACTTTCACTTATAGATACCGAGATATCAGCTTTTCTACAAAATGCGAACGAGAATAGTGAGCGTAAGAGTGGGTATGGCCGGATAGTGGTACTACCATAAGATGCTATGGTATCTGAAGATTATACATGCATAAGTTTAACTTTCTAAATAATAGTTCCTGATTTTAATTTTCCGTGATTTGTAGGTGTTAGAGAGGGCATGACAGGATGCTTGCGCTGCATAGGGACCTCAAGAATCTTCATGCTTAATCTAAACTTTGTATCTCTTATAGTTCCTGAGATCTCAGCGATCATAAGGACAGACGGACATGGCTCAATCGACATCGCTTTTGATCCTGATGGATACTGTATGACATAATATATGTACTTTATAGGGTCGGATACGCTTCCTTCTACTTGTTACTTAGAAGTACTCTACGAGTACGGGTATAAAAAGTGTAGTTCAATTCCTTTGTGTTAACAGTTTCTTGTCGGACTGTATAGAAGATAAAGTTATAGAATAGAATATTCTCCTGCACAGCTTATTGCGCTAAGTAGCTGCCCACAACGATCGGTCAGCTTATGAACGCCTCTGCAGTGATGCAGAAGCGGACCGAGGCCAGGTGGTGGCCACGGTCGGTGACGACGGTGCTACCGACCTTCCCCTCGTAAGCTGATAGCATGATCTTAGCTTCAGCTATACTGTCGCGGCGGTTGACAAAGATGAAATACTCGACTCAGAGGAAGTGCCATAAGAGAGTGAGAGAGCTTAACCGTAACCCTAACTCGCACAGATCACGACCGTCGAGCAGAACCGGTCGTCGTAAGGCCGTCCGTCGTCGTGCTCTTATCTCAGATCACCGTTGCATTGTTAACTTACATACCAGAGAACGACAAGGGTGTCTCTTTTTGGCACCCGAATCACACTTATACATTTCGAGTGTTTGTCGCACTCACAAAAAGCACGAAAGGATGTAAAACAGTTAAAGACGCCTGAACACTTAACACAAAACATGAGTGTTTCGCACACACCTTTCTTTGGGGTGTCTGGTGCAACAGAGTTTGTGCGTATGAGCACACCCTTATTTTAGGGTGCTGATCACACTCTAAGTGCCGTAAACGCAAAAATGATTCGGGTACACTTATTGTTTGGGGTTACCATTGCTGTTCTCTGGTACATACATATATGTATATGTACATATTTATTTTATTTGTATCATTTAATTTAATTTGTATCATCTATAATGGAACGTTTAATAAATAAGAAACAAAGAAAATATCGCGTAATTTGTAATTGCCTCCAAAACCGAAACAATAAGCATTGATTGAGAAGCTTTAAACCTAACATTTTTTTCATTATTCTTAAGATTTCGTCTTTTGCGACTAAACCATATTTCAGCAAAGGCTTCGGTTTAAAGAGATGTCTCTGTATAATATAATGTTCAGAGACGATGAACGCCATCTACATCTGAGACCGTACACTAAGACATATTAACAGTCGGAGATGCACATGTCTTACAGTCTGAGATTCTAGCTCATACAGTTCTATAGTTATTAGTAATAACTTAATAACTTATTACCATCCATATTGACGGCTGAGTGCACTACTTTGACAATCGATTACTTCCAATTTTTTAACATTTTTATAAGAAAAACAATCTTTTTCATAATTCTGTTTAGAAAAACGTATTTTTAACACTACTTAACAGCTCTGTTAATAATATATGAAAAAATCGACCTATCGGGCTCGTTTTTTGAACTCCCGCGCGCATTTCCAGTGCTGTAGTGCGGATAAGAGAAGACAGCTTGCAGCACTGTTCAAGGTACTCTCCAGTTGAGAGCGATACTTTGAGAATAATCAACCTATCGGGCTTATGTTTTTTTCAGGCGAGCGGTTCGGACGTGTTTTTCGCATCGTCGCTGTTTTTTGTAACGGCCGCGAAATTGCATTCCTAATTGTTCTCGCAAATTCTTTGTGTTGTGGTGTTTAAAAGGTGTTGCAGTAACTGTGGCTAAATAACGGGAAATGTCGAGTTCGCATTTACTCTTATAAGCATTTCCCAATTGTGTCCGTATTTCCCTACTGTGTGTGTAAGCTAAGTGCAAGTGTGCGAAACTGCAATGCGTATCCGTATCGAGTTTTCTTGATTTCCCAAAGAGCAAACAAAAAAAGCAGTGCAACTGCACCGAAAAGTGCAGCAGTACTTGTATGGATAAACAGATCTACCTGTCTAATAGGTGAGTTTCGAACGAGATTGACAAGTAGAAACCCGGCATTCCAGTTGGAATCTCAATTGGAAGAACGAGAATAGGGCATTAGTACACTTGCACTTGTGTTGAAACTCAAAGAAGCAATTCAAGCCAGACATACCAGCACAATTATGCTCGCACACCGCTAAACTTGTATACGTATGCGGGCCTCCAGCTGAGTTGTTGCTGCCACACAGCTGTATTTTGTTCTGATAACGGCACTAGTAGTATGGAAATGACAGCTGTCCCTGTGCCCCCTTTCGTGCCATCCTTCTCTGGCGCACTGCTGTAAGAGCAAGAGATCCGATGTTTTGGAGAGTATGGGTGGATTGTTATTGTTTCGGTGGCGCAAAGTGCCACCCACATAAAGTATCAATGCTGTTATACTCACTTCGAAGGGGATTGAGTTTAAACATTTCACTATCTGGTAAATTAGATATTTTATTTGAAAGAACTATTCACATATATTCTATATGCATATGTTAATAAAAAAAGTTATTTAATATTTATAACAATTCCTTCATCGCCAACTACCATCAGGTCCAAAGTTTAGTCTTAAATTTCATAAATTGTTGCATAATGCAATTACTTTTCCTTCCTTGACAACGTCTATAAGTTCTGCTTGCAATTCGAAAAAAGCTTATTCGTGTTCAACATTTTTCAGATTATGGCAGACCATCTGCTTCGTAGCACTGATTAATGCCCTCTCACATGTCAGGTGTAGCTCGCCCCATGATTATGATATTGTTGTGTAGCTCTGCTATTTTGACTGTGGCTTGCGTGTACCGTCGAAAAGGTCAGACGTGGGTTGATCTATGGCTGCCATAAAGCGGGTCAAGATTAAATAACGGCTAAAAAAGGGTGAAAGAGGTTAGGGGTTGACTGGCAACTTAATAAAACTGGGACTAATTTTATTTTATTAAACTGGTATCAGTATACTTGCTTGAATGTAGTTCACATTTCCGGTCCGTGGCTTGTTTTCTGCTTCTAAAATGTATGGTATAGAATCGACCTAAAAGTACTCGACTCTTTGTTAAATAATTGTTGTTGTTGTGCCCCCTGGTTTTGGTGTGAATCAACATAAATAAATTTGTGAAATTAGACTCTCTGAACTGATACGAAGGCATTAAAGTGATTAACTACTCCGTGTATAGATAAACTGAAATGTGTATATTAAATATCGATTAGGCCCAGAAGTTCTGAAACACAATCCCATCGATTTTAACCAGTTACGAAACCAGTTTCCTCTTTGATGCAATTTTTTTAAGAATTTAAATTATATGTAACATAATGTAAGAAGTGACAAATCCTGTGAATGCTATTCCAAATTCAAAAATCTTTCTGAATAATGCTGACTACTCACTTGTTTTAGCTAGTAACACGCTAGTAACGTCGCAAGTTAAATCAAACTTGACGTCATCGATCTTATCAAGTCTAACTAGTGTAGCATATAACAAATATATATTTATTGCATATGTAGTGTTCCCCAGGTTTATACAACGTGTCATGCGGCCCCAAGATAACCCAGTCTTTACATAGGGTACTAAAGCACTCGATTGTTATTGTTTGAGTTTTTGATAAGCGAGTTCAGATTAAATAGCGAAGCCGAATGGTTCCTCGCGAAATGAATACCTAAAACCATTTGTATTACTTTTTGTGTTATCTTTCCAATAGTTTTGTTCGTTTAGCACATTTTGAATGTCAATTCCATCAAGCACATCGCTTGCATGTTCGCTAATTAGCAGCATCTAAATAAATGACTGTAATTAAATCAATGTAAAACAAAAGTGTCACTTTGCAGTTGTATTAATATAAACGAAAAACATCTATTTTTACCAGCTGATATATTTTGTGCAAAGTTTTATAAGAGTGAAACACCTGGGAAATAGTTTCAATTCCCTTTCATAAATAGCTAATTACTGTGTTCCTTTTCTCTTTAGCCCCCATTTCCACAAGCTTCACTTTAGCAGTTTTATAAATGTTTTATTTAATTTACTTTGCGTGTTAACATATATCAGCACATTTCCTGGGGGGACGCCTCGTCTTTTTCAGCTTGTTTTTCCTTCAGTTTCTGTTCCCCGATGAGTGGCATTTGTGTTCACTTCACTCACTTCATTCCTTTTATGATTGATTTGCTCGCAGAAGTGGGAGAAGAATAAATATTTATGTTATTCGTATTCTGGTTACCTGATGCTGTGTGTTTATTAATAAAAAAACTTGTTAAACTTATGGATCACAATATCTATTATAAAAACCCAATTACATTTTGGCATCGAAGCTGGGGAATGATGAGCATATCGAGCATAAGAATATTCAACATTCTATAAATGGTTTGCGCAATTGCCTCCTCTGTAAACGTGGCCAAGTTATTGAGGTACCCTAAAGTTCTAATTTTAAAATAAAAAGGTTTGTGGTAAACATCCTCACCATACAGAATTATTATTATATTTTAAAGCAATTTAAACAGCCAGTCATGGGAAAGAAAAGCGATTAAATTTAAATTTGAACAACAACACATTAAACGAAGAACTTAATAGCTGCTTGCAATAATTCCCAATGCCAAAAAGCTAATATATTATTAAAGCTTAGCTCAAGCGTACAATGAGTACTGTGTATGTATACCTACTTAAAAACAAAATAAAATAAACATTTGTGTTTTATATTTGCCTGCCATTAGCAAAGCTTAAGAGGTTCTCCACCGCCAATGTCAAGACACAAAGCCAGGAAATGCGACTCAAACCAGCTTGCAGTTCAGGTGCAAATGTGGACAAGGTCCGAGGTTGTTATACCCGTTACTCGTAGAGTAAAAGGGTATACTAGATTCGTTGAAAAGTATGTAACAGATAGAAGGAAGCTTTTGCGACCCTATAAAGTATATATATTCTTGATCAGGATCAATAGCGAAGTCGATTGAGCCATGTCCGTCTGTCCGTCCGTCCGTCCGTCCGTCCGTCCGTCCGTCCGTCCGTCCGTCCGTCCGTCCGTCCGTCCGTCCGTCCGTCCGTCCGTCCGTATGAACGCTGAGATCTCAGGAACTATAGCAGATACAAAGCTGAGATTAGGCATGAAGATTCTTGAGGTCCCGGGACAGCGCAAGTTTATTACAGCATCCTGCCACGCCCACTCTAACGCCCACAAGTCGCAAAAAACTAAAATTGCTGAAATCTCAGGAACTATTGCAGTTAGAAAGTTGAAATTCAAAAAGTATAATCTTTAGATGGCAGCGCATCTTATAGTGGTACTACTATCCGGCCACACCCACCCATACGCCCACAAGGCTCAAAAAACGGTTTTCGGATTTTCTAGAAAAGCTGATATCTCGGTAACTATAAGAGATAGAAAGTTCGGATCAAGCATGTATGTTTCTATAATGCTCCCAATGCGAATTGTTTTTTTCCAATCACGCCACGCCCACTCTAACGCCCACAAAACCCGAAAAACCAAAAATGCAAAAATCTCAAAAACTATAAAAGCTACACAATTTTGCTTAAGAACACGTATTTAGGAGATGCCTCTGCAACTTGCCACGAAGTTGCATCCGGCCACGCCCACTCTAACGCCCACAAACCGCGGAAAACTGTGGAGTCTACAATATTATTATGAATGCCTTCGTTTGACCTTGTGTAACTTATTTCTGTTAATATCTATCGACTTACAAAAGATTTTTCAAATCGGAACATTATTTCGCTATTTATGAAGAAATTAAGGTTATAAGGCTCCACATGGGCAGTGACGTCACTATAAGCATACTCAACATACTTCCTCTGACAATAGGTGGCGCCTTGTGAATTTCCACTAGCAAAATTAAGATTTTAAAATTGTGTAAAACAGTAACGGGTATCTTATAGTCGCGGCACTCGACTATAGCTTTTCCTCTTGTTTTTATTATACACATGTATAATTTGACCAGCAGCCGGTTATTGCAGTCTGGCCAAGATTACTCGACCGATTCAAGGCGAAGGTCACCGGCTGCACGCAACTCGAGCGGGGAGAACTTGTTTTCCAAGCGGTCCGAAATTCGAAGTTCGAACACAGCTTCTCCGGTCCGCTTCTGTGTCTCCGAGTCTGGGGCGATTCTAAAAGCGATTTTTTGCGGGCCTGGGTGCCGTCGTTCGTCGTTAACCTTGAGGCGATTCGTTGCTCATACGCCGCGTGAGACGGGCTTTGTTAATACGAGTTCTGCTTTCAGGCAGCTATTGAAATGTGTGTGACTCTTTAATTAGCAACAACAAAGTCTGCCTCGCTAGTCAGCTAACTAAACACGGAATACTGCCCGATTTGCATATTTTTCTGCCATTTATGACTGAGTTCTTTGAATGTGAAATTCAGCGATTCATCCTAGCGGTGTAGTCAAAAGAACAATCGCACTTGATGTTTAACCTAGAACACATTCCCCCTCTTTCTTTTTATAGCCAATTTTAAAGCAATTGTTTATTGTTAGTAAATGAGAATCCATAAAATTTACTATCGGAACATGAATTGAATTCACAACCAGTTTAGTTCTGGTTAAGTCGACTACTATGACTCACACTGCAAGTTAAAAGTACTTTTAAAAGTATTTTTATGAGCTTTACGGCTGCGGTACTTTAGATGATCTTTGTTTTTAGCCAGGCCCTTTCAATGTCTTTTCTTTCTTCAACCTCAAAAACTGCAATCAAGAGTTCATTCAACCCATTTCGGCTGGTACTTACTGCATTGTGTTTTTGTGTTTTCCCTTCCCATTGAGTGGCGTACGATATAAACCAGTTTTGTACATTTGCGCGGTTTTCCTGATTGTTCAGTTCACTCAGCTATGAACACGAATCGCGCAATCTATGTACATATAAGCTACATACCTATAACTCTAGAGAACAACTTCTGAGAATGTGCAATTTTCTGCCCCTGATAAGCTATTAACAAAGGCTAAAGTATACCTTTTAAAAATTGCTTTCATAGATATTTTTCACTCTTAATTGAATAATTGCTTTTTGATAATATAAACTCTTGCCCTGCTTTCATTAATGTATCTCACACTTAATTGAGCTATATGGAAGCTATTCAAATTTTTTGAAACCATAAAACCCATTTTTAACTAACCAATCCTTAAAATATTTTACTCCAAATTTCTTTATAACAAAATTTATATTTTTATGGTGGCCTTATCATAATTTCAAAAAAATAAAGTTTCCTGCACTTGTTTTTATCGTTATATGAATCATAGGCATTATAAACAGACTAAGAACTTTAAGCACTTTTGCTAAGTTCATAAATTAACTAAGTAACTAAGATAGCTTTTAAAAAAATGGCGGAATGGAATTTATACACACATTTTGCCAGTCATTTCTGATAAATTTGTATAATGCGAATTATGACGACCCAAAAAATATTTCATCATTATCAAATTACTGGCAACTCGTAATGAAAATAGCTTCTAGCTGACTCTATGTTTAATGAACCATAAGGTCGTAGAATCACAATTTTTCCGACTGTCAGAGTTTTTGTTGAAAAATTATCGTGCCCATGTTAATGACAAAGAACATGAAGACGGGAGGACTGCGACATGGTTTTGTAAATTTTACCATAGCGCTTACTGAGTCACCACTGTTCCCAGTCCCTTCTGCCTTTTCCGTCCCACTTTCATTATCGACACCTCTCAGTAAGTAATTAAGAGTTGAAAACCTTACGTAAAATGCAAAAGTCACAAAGGGCGTACACTGAACGGAAAGAGAATGGAGTGTCGTAACTCAGATTTATTGTGAGGAGTAACTACCATTCCCTGGCTCCTCATCCTCCTCCACTCTTTCCCTGTCTCACTGCGTTTTCATATACAGTGAGATGACCCTAAACTATCTTTGAAGTGTTCGTTACTTGTGGCTATGTAAATAATAATCAGTCAAGTATTTATTTATATTACTGATCACTCTTTTTTCGCCAAAGAACTTTATCTTTTTTTTTTAATTTGTCAAAACTTTTTATGATGGTTCCTTCATAGTCACCCTGCTTTTATTCCACCTGTGCTATAAGAAAAATGATGGTTCAATTATTTTTTATATATATTTGAAATACCTATTTGGGTTAGACTTATTTAAGTTCCACTGTATTTCTAATTGAAACCTGTTTTCTTCTCTTAGTGCCGACAAAGCCGAAGACGTTGCCGGAGACGAAGACGACGGGCAGTCGAGATGACGCAGACCAAGCAGCCAGCAGGTGGGTCGTCCACCCCGGCCACAGACTTTGTGGCCCCCGTCACCTCGACTACAGCCTCTAAGCTCACACCCTGCTCTACGTCCGCCCACGATGTTTTGCTGAACAACTTCCAGCTGAAGAAGAAGAGATACCGGGTCCTGCTCCATGGGCAGCAGTTGGTGTGGGAGCGCCTGCAGAAGATCAAGCAGCCGCCCCAAAGCAACGAGACGAAGGCTCCATTGCCGCCTGACTCGCCCTCTCAGCCTGGGATCTTCTCCTATGGGCCGCAAAGTCATGTACTTCACCTTGACGATGTGGTCAGCATAAGGAGCGGGGACACCAAGGCGAGCTCTCTAAAACCTCCATTGCCTCCAGGTTCGGAGCGCGATTCCAGATGCAGTAGTGATGGTGTTCCGGGGAAGCCCACCAGTCAGTACCTGACTATTAACTATGCCATGAGGTTAAGCAAATCTCAAACGGATTGCAATCGCTGGGAGCTGAGGAGGCTGACCTTTTTCAATTCTGATCCGTACATAATTAGGCAGTGGGATCAGGAGCTGCAAGTCCGTATGCAGGGATCCTCGCCTGTTCGGATGCGAGTGCGCCGTCTTTTGGTGTTTATTAACCCCTATGGAGGTCGCAAGGCAGGAGCCCAGACCTACGAACGGCATGTTAAACCCATTTTTCAACTCGCTGGTGTGGATGCCACCTGTATTACCACTCAAAGGGCAAACCAAGTCAAGGACATACTGCTGAGCCACGACCTGGGAGTATACGATGCAGTTTGCTGTGTCGGAGGCGATGGAACTGTGGCGGAGGTGATCAACGGACTGATATTCCGACAGATGCGGGAGTTGGGACTAGACGAACAGCGGCCACCATACATTCCAAGACCGGCTCTGCCTGTTGGCGTAATCCCTGCTGGCAGCACCGACACCATAGCTTACAGCATGCATGGCACTGCGGATGTGAGGACAGCAGCCATCCATGTAATCCTTGGACAACATCGCGGCCTCGATGTGTGCAGTGTGAGCAATGGTCAGTCCCTGCTAAGATTTTGTGCCAGTGTTTTAAGCTATGGATACCTGGGCGACGTAGCCGCACAAAGTGAAAACTACCGCTGGATGGGACCAAGACGGTACGAGTACAGTGGCGTCAAAGCCTTTCTAAGTAATCGGGGCTATGACGCCGAGTTGAGGATGCTGGAAGAGCCTGATCTGCTGCTTACTACGCCGCTGGAGGAGGTCCCACAGAGTCCGGACAGCGTGTGCTCACTGGGCGAGTCAGTACCCTCCGTCTGCTACGCGAATTGCCAGCGCTGTAGCTTCGCAAGCAGCATACAGGAGCAACGTTCTTCCCTGTTCATCCAGGAGGAATCTAAAGAGCCGGAGCGGAATCAACGGGAGGGGCCAGAGGTTTCCCATATAGACCCCAGTGAGGCAGCTTTGCTTCGACCTCGTCCGGATAAGCTTAAATTGCCTTCTGGCTCCATTTCATCTATGAGAAACCTCGGAAACGATCAGTGGAAGGTAGTGCGGGGAAATTTCTTCATGATCTGCGGAGCAAACATCACCTGCGCCTGCGCCAGGAGTCCGAATGGAATTTCTCGCTACAGTCACCTAGGCGATGGTTGCCTCGATCTGATTCTGGTGAAGAAGACCTCGTTGCTCAATAATGTACGCTTCCTTCTCAACACGGCGGGCAGAAGCGGTGATATTGTAAGTCCTTATTACTTAAATGTATACCAAACTATTTCTTAAATGTGCAAAGTTTATTTTCAACTTAAAAGAAATTAGTTATTTAATAAATTCATATTGCACTGTCTAAATTCAACAACGATTTCAGCGCAATCTGCCCTTTGTGGAAGTCTATCGTACCAGGGAATTCCAGTTCAGAACGTTTTCTGGCGCTGGCGAGGAGGACTATAGCATAGCGGGCTCATGTCAGCCGATTTCTCCTCCTGGAGAAATGGCCAACGCCTCATCCTCCACAGAGTTTTCCAGCTGGAACTGTGATGGCGAGGTGGTCACCGATCTGGACATTACCATGAGGTGAGATACATGTACTTTTACCTCGAAAGAATCAATCATAAACATACCGTAATCTTTCAGATCGCACTGTCAGCTCATTGAGGTCTTCATGAGAGGCCCCCATTCCTACAGCAAGCCCCTCAAGGGTGGCATTACGCCCACAACCCCAGCCAGCTCCAGCGATAATGTCTACTGCTGCTGCAAGGACTAGAAGCTTTAACCCCATAGAATTAGCATCAATCATTGGCCGTGACAAGTAGCTCGTAGTTTTGCATAGGGTATCCTTATTCGTATTTGTATTCGTATTGTGTTAGAGAGCGGGTCTCCCCGTCATTGTTTTTAGCATAGCTCAATAAAGCAACTGATATTATCGACTGTATTATGGCATCTGAAAGATGCGAAGGCAAACTGAAACATTCCCCTCGGAAGGCATTCATTATTCACCTACCTATATATTTACAAATTGTGTACTGGTATATTGGCAATAAACAATGTGTCTATTTACGACTGTGAGTTTCATTTTAAAAATGTTTGTAAGCCATTAGGGAATTATGTACAAAGTTTCTGCTTAATGGTTTCTGGGCGCCCTGTAGAGTGTAATCACGAGTCGCCCTATAAAAATTAAGAAATATCAGCCCGTTTGTATCCTCAGAATTAAGAAGGTATTTTGTCGATTACCTGTGTGGCACTTTAAAAAAATAAACTTTTTTTATTAATTGTAGATTGTTAAGGGCTTTTATGAATTTCGGTTTAATTTTTCGTTTGCTTTATCGATTGCTTTGAAATTTGAAATTTTTACTTATTTAAATATTAATTATTTTTGGATGAATTAATTATTTTGAATACCTCAATCGGTTGGTATCGTGGTGATCATTAGCAGTACTTTATTGAAAAATGTAAACTAAAAAATATATTATAAAAAATTAGTATACTTTTAAAAATAAATTTTCTACAAGACCTTATTTCTGCAGCAACTTAGGACCATCATTAATAATTAATAAAGAGTCATTTAACGTCTTTTCCAGGTAGCTTAAGGTAACATAAGGAATGGGTATCGCATAGTCGCGATCCATCAAAACAACAAAATCCTTTGGGAAATCCTAGATAGAAAACTTTTAGTTTTAAACGGCTTTTGTTATTGGGAAAATTTTGGACACTCCATTGACTTAAAGTCCACGATATGAAATAAATTGGATTTAAAAAAGAACCTGTTTTAAATTTAAAAATGGATCATTCTATTTTTAAAACCATAAAGAAAAATAAACTTAAAATAATGACTTAGTATGACCTATTCGCATAGTGTGGGTATATTTGGTATTTTTATCTACGGTATGCGGAAAGAATCGTTTTCGGTCGCATGAACTCTGTCCACATTGCGTTGACTTAGGCTTTATTTGTGCCCGTCATTCTCCGGCAGAAAACAATTTATCGTTTTGCCTTAAATCAGTTTCCAAACAGAAAAAAATTACCATGTTGAACAACTACAATTGCCTAGCACAACCCCTGTGGCAAAACGGACCAGCTCCAGGCGAGCTCTATAACTTTACGGGCGGACAGACGCCGATTCAGCAGCTTCCCCGTGAATTGACCGCGGCGGGTCCCTATGGAACCAAGCACAGCACGTAGGGATTGTTGATGCAATCCTTTTTTCTCTTACTAAATATACTCCGTTAACTTTCCCACAGAGCTGCCATCACCACAGGCTCCTCTGTGCTGGGAATTCGCTACGACGGCGGCGTAATGCTTGCCGCTGATACCCTGGTGTCTTACGGATCACTGGCACGCTACCAGAACATCGAGCGCGTCTTCAGGATCAACAAGAAGATCCTACTCGGCGGCAGCGGAGACTTCGCCGACATCCAGTCCATCAAGCGCAGCATCGACCAGAAGATGATCGAGGACCAATGCTGCGACGACGACATCGAGATGAAGCCAAAGTCCCTGGCTACCTGGATGACTCGGGTGCTATACAACCGGCGCTCTCGCATGAATCCACTCTACATCGACGTGGTCGTGGGTGGCGTTGACACAAATGGTACTCCCTACCTGGCTAACGTGGATCTTCGCGGTCGTTCTCACGAAGACTATGTGGTGGCCACCGGCTTTGCACGTCATTTAGCCATTCCGCTAGTCCGTGAGAAGAAGCCAAAGGACCGAGACTTCACTGCTTTAGAAGCTTCCGAACTGGTACGTATTTTGTTTAATAAGTAAAGTATAAAGTATTATCCGTATTATCGTCAAAGTATTGTTAATCAAAATAATAGCATAAGAGTATATTTGCCGCTTAAACAAAATATCTCTTAGGATTGTGTGTTCTTAAAGTTAGATAGTTAAATGTTATATTGTTTTTTTTTAGATCCGCAAGTGCATGGAGGTGCTTTATTACCGTGATACTCGTAACATCTCCCAATACACCGTGGGCGTGTGCAGCCCTAATGGATGCGTCGTGGAGGGGCCTTTCCAGGTTAACGAGAACTGGAAGTTTGCCGAAACCATCAAGGGATACTAGAAATCCTGAATGAACGTAGTTTAGGTGTAGCTCGGCGGTTTTTGTATGAATTAAAATCACTTCTCCATGATTTATTGAAAATAAATTGGGCAAAATATACTATCCTTAAAACTATGGGGCTTTTGTGTGAATTGCTGTTTGTAGCTTAATTGTTCTATATATAAGAACACTTCCCGAAGAGCGAGTATCCATTTGTGTCCTCTTTATAATTCAGCCTTGGTCCGCAGTATTTTCCTAATAGTTAATAAACTGAGATTAGGATTTAATCTGCCGTTTTGCAGTATAAAACCTACATTTGACTGTTTCTTGAATAATTTCCCCCAAATATTAAACTTCATTAGTATGGAATACTTCCAAGTTAATTTTGGTTACATAATTTATTTAAAATAATAATTCTGGCTAAATATATATATTCAATTTGATCCAAAAGCGGAGTTCTTTATGGGATAACTGCTTGGAATAAGTGTCTTAAGTCGCCCATGCTCCTTCTAATCTCCTCTAGCTGGAAATAGATCCCCATCTTAGTTCAGCATAGTGTGCCTGTCGTAGATGTGGCGTCTCTGCTCGCGCACCTGCCGCTTCCACTTGTCCTGCTGGTGGCCCACGCGATTTAGAACATTGGCTCTGGCACTGAGCTCCTGATTATTTACGGCGGGCAGGGGAGGAGTCGGCTCGTCCTGGTTAGAAAAGGGAGGGAGAAAATTGGAATTAGTCGGGGTGATCTCAGATCTGGTTGATCACGTGGATTTTTGGTTAGTGGTGAGTGTCTCTAAAGACGGGCGGTGTGGGTTAAAAACTTAATAAAAATCGCAAACGAAAAATGAAACAAAGGATGTGGAAATTAAAAATCTATTCAAAAATGTGGTGCTTCTTTATTGCCAACTAGTTGAGCCGCATCGGCGACAACGTCATTTTCTTCATCATCTTCGCCTTGGGCTGTAACTAGGAGGCTATATTGAATGCCCTTGTATCTAGAATGCTTGTTATGTACATCTTCGTTGGTGTGCTCCTGATAGTTCGCCTTCACTCGCTTATTTAACAACGGGTCCAGGCACATCAGGAAGAGCATGTATATCACTAAAATGGATATGATCCAAATCACAATGATGACAACGACCTAGAATAAGTGAATAAAAGTTAAGAATGGAAGGCTTTAGCACATTTATTTATGTTAACCTTAATCAGTGTCGTATTTCTCGCCACATGGGAGCACTTGCATTCGGCGCAGATGGGCAGTTCCTTGCCATTGGAATCCAAGCGCGGCAGCAGGGCACCAGCACAGACACTGAAATTGTAAAATGAAAGGAGTCGGTAGCAGATAAATAAATTAAACAAAAATATAATAAATCCAACTTATTTTTAAAGTTAAAACAATTTTAATATTTACCTAGCATATATATATAAATATATTATAAATCCTATTAATAATTATTTTTATCTTTAATTTGTTTGGGGTAACTACATATAAAACATAACTAAATTAAATGTTTCTTCAAAACTTGTAGAGATCAGCCTTTGTGCGCTTACTATATGTAAATCACGATTTAAAATGAAGATACACCATATATAAGAAAGCCTAAAAAGATTTAATTGGCTTTGGTCAAATAAAATTATTTGTAGTTATAGGCTAAAATTTTTTTTAAGCAAGACATTGTTTTTGTTTATAAAGGTTCAAGTCTAAAAAATAATAAAACACATTCTCAATATCCGGGTGCTTCTTTTTAAAGATAAAATATATACATAATATATAAACTTAATATTGCTCTTATAGCAATCATAACAGCTAACTTAACTGTCCCGAAATTATTATTGTTTATATGGCAAGGGATTTGAAATAGGGTGCAAGTATGCACAATAATATCGTGCCCATATTGCCACATACTTGGGCTCAGACTCTATATAATTCGGATTGCTGATATTGTGTTGATCGCCGGTGTAGTAGAACTTACCATTCGGTAGATGGCGCTGCCGTGCTGCTGGAATTGGAAGAACTCTGGGCGGGATTAGCGGGTTCTGATTTGCCGATGACCTTGGGCGGAGATGCCGCAGTGGGAGATAGCACGGCACCCGTTTGCTTGGCAGGTGCCACTGGAACCTCTGGAGCTACTGGAACTGCAGGAGCGCTCATGTGACTGGCATTGTTATTGCTGCCGACCACTGGCGACGTTTGCGATGCAGTCTCAGCCTTTGTTGTTTTTTGTTTGGGACGGAATATCACTTTTGTTTAGCAATGGACCAGTCATGTGATCTGTCAAATTTAGGGACTCACCCATGTCACGCCAACCAAATAACATATCGCCAATAGCACAGCGTAAACAAACAAACGCTTGTGTGCCATTAATTTTTCTTTGATTTCAATTTTTCTCACTTTTCTTGCCTTTTATTTGGAGAAAAAATGGGATCTTGACAAATGCGTAGAAAATACCAACTAACAATCGTTATCGGAACTAGTTTTATTTTATTGGTATACTTCTTGTCTAACGATAAAAATAAATGTTTGTATTTACTCACGGTGAAGGATAATATAAGTATTAATATTTAATATTATGAAATTTAGCTATTAAATTTGTGTCTGTCTGTCTTAGTTTATTTATAAAATTTTCATAGAGTTTTATAATTTTTACAATAAGTAATATAAATAAAGTAGTAGAGGTACAATTATATTTTTGACTTTAATTTAAAAAGGAAATAAATTAAATATATAAATACAATGAGAATGTATTTTTGGTATTTTTAGCGAAACTGGATTCCTAAATGTCACTGCGTCTGGTCACACCGTCTGTGTCACAAAACCAATTGTTTGCGTGTTCATAGCGGATTTTAATCTTAGTTGCCGGCACAGATTAACTGACTTAAAAACCAAGGATAGGATAAGCTAAACTGGGCAATACAAGATGCAGCACGGACTACTCCTAGCGGGATTGGCGCTAGTCATCAGCCTTCTCAACGGTGCCGGTAAGTTTCGACCCCTAGGAAAGTTGCGTCTATGTGGTCTTCTGTGATTGGCCACGCCGTTCTTTTCGACCCTTTGGTGCTGATTATCGCAGAGAATTAATGTTTATCTCGGTGCACATCTTTTCACTCTGAAACAGCAACGGAATCTAACGTGGTCACCTGCGGCTCCATCCTGAAGCTCCTTAACTCCGACTACTCTTTCCGCCTGCACTCCCATGACGTGAAGTACGGATCCGGATCTGGCCAGCAGTCAGTGACGGGCGTGGAGCAAAAGGAGGACGTGAACAGCCACTGGGTGGTCAAGGCCCAGACCGGAGAGCTATGCGAACGGGGCGAGCCCATTGCCTGTGGATCCACCGTGCGATTGGAGCACCTGACTACCAAAAAGAACCTGCATTCACACCACTTCTCATCGCCGTTATCTGGCGAGCAAGAAGTGTCCGCCTACGGAACGGATGGACTCGGTGACACCGGAGATCACTGGGAGGTGGTCTGCTCAAATGACAACTGGATCAGGAGTGCACACGTTCGACTGCGCCACATCGACACCGGCATGTTTCTGGGCATGTCTGGTCGCTCATATGGCAGACCCATCTCCGGGCAAATGGAGATCGTGGGTTTGTACAAGCCACAGCACGGAACACGATGGACCACGGCGGAGGGCCTCTTTATAGTGCCCAAAGAGAAGAGTTCGACGCACGATGAGTACGCCCACACTGAGCTGTAGTGCAGATAAGGCACCTCGACTGGTCTAGTTCGGTACTACTATTAGTTCAGTAATTTATAATTTAGTTGAATTTTTATGTGAAGCGATAACATGTTCATTTTGTATTAGACCCACAAAGCAAACCAACAAATTAAAATTATTTAAATTCAGGGAAATAAGAAATTATCTGTTTTGGTTTAAACAACGGTTTTCTATGGAGTTTCGGACCTAAGACTAGATTTAAATGATTGGTATTTGTTATTGGGGACGTACTTAGAGATTTTTTATTTTGGGATTAGCTCTACTTGTCGTTTTTTTTCATTGTCACAAAAAAGGTGTTGCTTTTGCCGACGTAAAGAAATATATTGAAGACTATAAACATTACGGAAGTAGAGAGTATTATATGATGTGGCAAAGGAGGTCTAAAAAATGATTTACTTCGATCTAAAAAATAGTTTTACATTCCATTTGTTGTAATTAGAAAAGGAGTTAATATAACTGATATAACACTATATTATATTCCTATTAAGCAATAATTTCGGGTATTATTTTATTGCTGAAGTGCAAAGATGTTCCATGGTGGTGGTGATGGTACTTTCGTATATCAATTACTGAACATTCCAGTTTTTTATTGAATTGTAATGAAAAGTTGATATCGAGGAGTTTAAAGATTAGATTACTGTAGTTCTACCAAAAATGGTATAAATACTAGTGAAAAGCAATTCAAACCATCAAAAATATTGTTAACCGTTCTCAATTTTTTTTATATAGATTGTTGTCGTTAGTTTTAAAAATTTGAAAGAGAGGACATATGAAAGTTTTATTCGAAACGGATTTCAAAATTATTTCTTTTGTGTAAGTTAAAAAAAAAAGTGGACCAGCCTTTATCTCCATATACGCGGTTTGGTTGGCAGGAAACATGGGTGTGGTGTTTCGATATCTTTAAGCACTTATCAAAAAAAGGTTACCCATGACCGTATTGGCGCACTTTATCTTGGAGCCCAGGAAACTATCCGTGCAGATGCAACCGTAAAGCAATTCTTGCATTCCGCGAATGCTTCTCCCTAGTCCCTGGGCTTGTTTTTGTTTGCATGCATAAAACAATGGAGCTTATCCCGACCATATAAGCTATGTAAATACATTTTGCCATTGCTCGCGGATCCCTTCGTCCCATCTCCTAGCATCGTCACGTCCATTATCTGCTCGTCTGTTTTGTGCTCCTTTTGTTTAGGGCATTGTCAACGCTTTGTCTGCTCATCCTACTCGTCGTCCTCCTCATTCCCATCACCGTAACCCGAGCTGATTGTGGGCCCGGTAAGGTCAAAATGTTAGAAGACCCAACCCAGCCCACACAGTCATTTATAGATTCTCATAATCGGGTTGTCCTTGTAACCATTTTGCACAAATAAGAAATGGAAACAAGGATAGTCGGGGCTTTTTTCTGGTGTTTTCATGCCAGGACAGATCCTCCGTCTTAAAGGTTATCATCATTTGTTTAACAATTTGTAAGTGTGTTCTTACTTCGATTATTATATAAAACCGTGTATCCTTAAATCATCATCCTGGCTCGGAGTATTCAAAGGGGACAGATAAGTTAAAATCTTCTACCTGTTTCGCATATGTTAAAGACCATGTAGAAGGTTTATGTGTTAAATGAAATCGACTTTATTGCCACATGCTGTGGCAACATATAATTTAATTTCGCGTCAATTATGTCTTACAGGTGTTCATAATTTCCGTTCTGTGCGTTTATTGATTTACGTTTAACGCGTTAACGCCACACTCCCTCTTCGTACAGCGATGTTGTTGTACATATGTATGTTCAGTCCCCATGTTTGAAACACTCCCCTTGCCGGATTTCTATTGTTGAGCAGTGGCACATCCTTATATTCATTGTATCCTTTTTGTATTGTATTTCCTATGAGACCATTGATAAGCAAAACTCTTTGCCAGGAGGAAGAACTCTAAGGTGGGGCTACACAAACAAAAACATCCTTTCACTTATAAATGTCCTAGGTAATTAGTCATGACTAATGTTCATGTCAAATATTTACATTTTATAGAACTTGACTTATTTTTAAAGTTTTACCTTTCAATGATATGCAAGATATTTAGGGAGTCGGACTAAATTATAATTTCATTTTTCTCCTAGCACGCTTGTTTATGTGTATGATAATCTTACGGGCATATACTATACTATTTATATAGAATAAAACTCCCGCGTCCGCTTGCCTCTATCGATTCTTGCTTATCGACGTCGGGCAACCTTTAAAAGCGTTAAAAACTGAGTGAAGGACTCGCTGGCTGAGTGACTGACAGATTGACACGAAATGTTTGAATGTTTCAATGTTTGTTTGTTTGCTCGCTGGTGTGTGTAATGGCCGTGTGGGTGTGCGTCCTTTCCCTTTATCCGCACACTGCCAAACGAAAAGTGCGTTGTGTATACGCACGAGTGGCTGGAAAACGTAAAGCGCCAAGCGAAATTCTCAGCATACTTACGGGCGCACCCTGACCTACGTTGTGACCCACCATTAAAAATCCAACTTGCAGTAAAAGTTCTCGTTCTTTTTGATTGGTCTCTTTGTTATGCAAAAAACTTTTTTAAATTTGAAACAAATTTAAGACAATTTTGCTAAAAATTAACTGACTGGTTTTTACATCGTTTTATGCATATAAATATTACGTGCCTTTTAATTTAATTTAAGTTTTTTCACAATGTTTGACTTATGCTTACTTTGTAAAAAAAAAATCAGATGCAATATGGTTATTTGATTTAATATTTGATGGAACAAAAGCGTTACTCTAACACATTCAATATGTACAAAATTCGATCAGGAATGATTTTATGTGACATACTTGTACCCTAACACATTTCTAAAAGATGTTTTAACAGCTGTGCCTGAAACGTAACTAAAATATAAATAATCCGATAATACAATACTTAATAATAAACAGCTTTGGTTTGGCTGTTTTATTTTTATACTGAGGAGTATAAAAATCATTAGACTAGAACTCTCTCTCTTTCTCTATGGTGGCTTTATTATTTTGAAACTGGAACGGAATGATCAACGGGCATGTGATAGTCGCATCAGTCGAATATAGCGGCTAATAGCATAGATTTTTAAACAATTGAGGCACTTGACTGTGGCATTACTAACACCAATACCAAGTGTAAGTCTGATGTGTAGAATTGTTGGTGGGTACTAAGAAAATATGACTTAGATATCTTCTTCATAGCTCAGCTACTTTTTCAATAAGTCATGTAACTCACTCAATTGAAAGAAGAAATTTTGAACAAATTTTATCCCTAATTTGATCAAAGATTTAGTGGTTTAAGTAACTGGCTTGGCATTTACGGGACAATTTATGATTGTTTACATATGCAGTTTCTTCCTTTCCGTTGCTGCTCTATCAATATACTGATGGCCTACTTTTCCAAATAACCTTCCATGTACATAACCGTTTCCTCGCACTCCATTCTTCCCACATATGTATATTTCATACAGAGCCGGATTAATTTCCCTATCCGTAGTTGAATACACTGTCACCTTACACAACTTTCTAAATCTACTGTAACTAACAATAATCCTATGGCACCCGAACCAGCGTTACTGGCCCAGAGCTCATCGGTAAATGTATTTCACGATGAAACAATTAAGCCGCAGCGTAATGTAAAAACAAGTAAGCTTCCTGATGTAATAACAAATATTAAACATCCTAATCCCATTTTTAAATACAAAGGTGAGAATATACCGCCGACGCTTGCGGAGAAAATCTTGTTCGTCCTTTCTATGATTCTGATAGTTCTTGCTTTTCCGTGGTCTATTTTCTGCTGTGTTAGAATAATGTCCGAGTACGAACGAGCAGTGATCCTGCGATTGGGACGTCTGCGCCCGAAGCCCCCAAGAGGGCCTGGTGTCATCTTTATCGTACCCTGCATCGATGACGTCGCAGTTGTGGACATACGTACCAGATCCTTTGATCTGGACAGACAGGAGATCCTTACGCGCGACATGGTCACGATCAGCATCGACGGAGTGGTGTACTACAGCATCAAGAGCCCTTTCGACGCAATGCTCCAGGTATACGATCCTGAGGAGGCCACCGAGAAGCTGGCCATGACCACGCTCCGGAACGTAGCCGGCACTCACAAGCTAATGGACTTGCTTTCATCTAAGGAGTACTTGTCCAATCAGATCGAAGGTATATTGTACAACTCCACAGAGCCTTGGGGGTACGGGTGGAACGCGTAGAGATGTAAGTGTTTCGTCTTTCCCATAGCACTTTCTGACGGTCGACACATACTTGCTAGCAAGGAGATCTTTATGCCCGATCAACTGAAGCGCGCCCTGGCAGTGGAGCAGGAGGCGATGCGGGAGGCCAAGGCCAAGGTGGCTGCAGCCCAGGGAGAGCGAGATGCGGTAACAGCACTCAGGGAGGCCGCCGACATTATGGAGACCAACCCCATTGCCCTGCAACTGCGGTACCTGCAAACACTGAACTCTATCTGCAATGAAAATACCCGATCCTATGTGTTTCCCTTCCCCGTAGATATTGTAAAGAGAATGATGAAGTGATTATTTGCTTTGATATGTTAGTTTGCGACATAGGATTAGTCCAAGTGATATTTTTTCATTACTAAGCCCGTTACGTTTACAAAAAGACAATCAAAGGCTTAGATTATGAAACTCTATAAGTCTAGTTACGTCATCTTCGGGGACTAAACATGCTATATACGGTTCAAGCACCAAATGGTGCCAGCACTCGTAGAGTAAAGGGTATAATAAAGTCGTTAACTGATAGAAGAAAACGTTATATGTATGCATATCCTTGTTAATAACGGAGCCGATTTAGTCATGTCCGTCTATATAGGCCCGTCTGACCTCAAAATGGTTGTTATGATGGAATGTTGGAACTAAGTATGAAGATTCAGCAGTGACCTTCATAATATTAAAGCTTTAGATTTTGAAAGTATTTGCTTATTAATGGATGTACCGATGTATGGTAACCGAAACTTCTTAGCTCGCAACTTTATTTTTCAATTATAATTTAATAACCAATTATGGCTGGGCCATGTAGAAGCACTGACGTCTGTAAATAAGAACGCCTTAAATAGTTCAATCAACAGATGAAGCCATTCAAATAGCATACTAGTTTGAAATAAACGATATAACAACCATATTTTTGGCAGTAAAACGCACCTTAAAGTAGAATGAAGTGGTAAAATATCTCATAGTCGGTCATGACCACTACTAACAAATTGGCATGCCCTACTTGGTATTATGAAAAAGCCAGATTTCCCAACGTAAAATAGCCAGGTGAACAATGTTTGGCTCCACGCGCCTTTTGGGCCTCCTCCTCCCTGTTTCCGTCTGTCTGTCTCTCTGTTGTCGTCTCCAGTTGTCGTTATCGTTGGCGTTGCGCACTCGCCCCGTTGCTCCCTGGTCCGCTCGCTCTCCTTGTCCCTTTCCCTCTGCCCCTGTCTCCCTCTCTATTACTCTCACTCGTGGCGTCTCCTACGCACTTAACATTGAAAACCGAAAACAAGCCCCCAAGTTGCCAGAAAGGCCTGCCGTCCGCCTCAAACATGGATACAAGTCCATCTCTCTACGCCTGCGCATTTAGCAAGCACAGGGATTCAGGCGAGAGGAGAGAACCTTCAATTTATGGTGCATACCTATAGAATCGTGATAGTGAAAGTTCGATAGCAACAACAATAATTCGTAAGTTTTGAAGTTTACAGCAGGCCGTTCCGACATGACACGCGCCCCTAACAGTAGGCAATACTTTTTAACAGAGTCTGTAAATGGGAAATGGAATTTGGGAGCCTTTTTTTGAGCTTCAGGAATAAATTTTCCATTTAAATATCTTCAAAAGAAACAAAGTACATTCAATACATGATAAATATAATAAATTAAAAATATTAACTAAATACCCAAACAAATTTCAATGGTACGCCTTTAAGAAAGGAACGGAAAATAAATTATATGGCAATATGGCATTCTTTTAAAAACAATTTTTCTTATTTTTATGTATAAAAGTTGTTAATGTTAATATTGTTTGGGAATTACCAGCTCTGTTAAAACATTAGAACTAAAAAAGTGACTGTCAAGAGAGAGAGACAGAGACAGAGAAGTGGAGAGAGTGCATGCTAGTTCCTTAGCTCTCTCCTGGCCATGTATTTCAGCCCACTTGGCTGGAGCGACGTAAATACCGTTAGCACAGTACATCGTGGACAGTTGAGCGTGCAAGTTTGGGCAACCAGACACCCTTGCCAATTATACAGAAAGGCCAACAAATATATCAAATCAAAACAGAGAAAAAGATTAAAAATATAAGAACAAAAACCCAATATGGCAGCCTGTCAAGCCTGAAAAATTCGGAAAACATAAGAGAAACGATTTTGTATTTTTGGCCAATTCGTAACGTTTTTTCGGTCCCTCAGCTGTGTGTTACATAAATCTCGGCGAATGTGTGCGTGTGCGTGAGAGAGTGCCCATGTGTGTGTGTGCGACTAACAGCAACAGCAGCTAAGAAAAATTATAAAAATCAGCTAAAAAAAATATAGAAAGCTACTCCCCGCTTTAGATCTATCGTTTGTGTGCTTAGTCAATTGGGCTCAAACCCAAAAGCTGTTTCGGTGTCAATTACTAGAAAGTTACTACCTACAAATATTACGCATACGAGGCGGTGTACGCAGAAGAACCACTTAGAACTCAGCTAAACAACCGACAACAACCAGTCGAAGCAATGTAAGTGGAGAGAAAATCGTGTATATAGCGTATGGTTACATATAAGAACGTATCATTAAGACATTTAAGCACATGAAACTAACTTAAAATTGTATCCTAATACAGTTTATCATACAACTATCATGTACTATGTATATCCAATAGATTGATGTTGATGATAGCTCCTTTTCAAAACCTAAGGATTATTGAAACCCATCTGTTTCTGTCTGTGAGTCGGAGCCTGACCTCGACCAATCGACTGCCATTGAAACCTCAATCGCAACGTCTGTTCAATTTTAGTTAATTTCGCCCCATCAGCTGCAACATGTGTAGCAATTTCCCAGCGCTACATTTTCCACAACATTTATCGATTATCGACGCCCACTCACCCACCGCCGCCCTCATTTTCTTCTGGTCAAGTCAATTGCTTGCAAAATTTAATAACCGCACACTTGGCATTTTGCGTTTTGTTTTGTGCCCCAACTTTGTTAATTTCTTTTCGTGCCCTTCTCCCAGTTTTCCCTCGCTTTATTGCTCTTTCTTTTGGGTTCTCGCCCACGCATTTGCTCGTTATTTTCGCTTTTTGTGCCGCTTTTCGCCTGTCAGCCGCCTGCCACTCCCACTTGCCACTGGGTGTCTCCTTTTCGCAAGCTCTGGCTCTTCTCTGGCCACCTTTGTGACCTGAAATGGGCAATATCATCTTGTCGGGGTCCGGATTGAATATCTTATTGTTGAAAGGGAAATTGTATCCCAGAAGAGCTTGATTGATTCGATGAGGGCTCCAAAGGTTCTCTGAATGATGCAAATTCGTGTGGTATATGGCAGCGGGCAATCCGTAATCATCAGTCACTCTAAAGAAAAGAGGTAAAGAAAGAAGCCGCGATAATACGAACAAATTCTAATAGAGTTTTATCCTTTTGACAATGGATCTTAAGTTGAGCTTAAGGAGAGAAATACTTTAAAGATACGATTTTTATCTTACTTTTATCAGTGCTCCTATTTAGCTTGCTGCATTGAGCTACAAACATAAGATACAATCAAGAATTATTTTGTATTGTTCTTGTTTAAACTGAAATTATTAAAATACTTTGCAAATAAGCCGTATAAACGTAATAATAATAACTTTTAACTTACTGTTTTACTGCAATCCTCAGATTTTCCCCTAAAATAGTAAAATTGTAGAAAATCTATGTTCCCAGCTCTGGAAGATATGATAAAATTGTATATGATTCTGCCACATTATGAAATAGGGAAAATGTATTCAAATGTCATGTAGATCTAACATGGCTGGTATATCTTCCGTGTGCACTTTCTTTTCTCTGCTGTTTCCTACTGCACACTGTGCTGGCCCCATTGTTGTTACGTATTTTGTTTCTGCGTCTAAGCGTGCTTTTTGTGAGGCTTTGTTGACCACCCACGAAGAAGACAAAGTCGCCGTCATTTCCAGGACACATTTTCGCTGCCTGCGTTTCATTTGTTTCCCTGTTTATTGCTTTTGGCTTTCGTCCTGGCCATTGTTCTTGTTCTTTTTCTTGCCCTCGCCCACTGCTGCAGGACTTCAGCTTGAAGTATTTTAGCCATTTTCTGGTCAGCCATCATCATTTAGCCGGCTTGGAGGGGCAGCGACTGAAATGGAAGGACTTTTTCTCGAGTATCGCTTCAGTTGTGGCCATTGCATTGCCATCGCATTACCTTGTGGCACTTTGGCATGAACAGAGATTTATAACTGTGGCAAAAAGTGAACACTGGGGCATCTAAAAGCCGCTGGAAAAGACGTTAACAAATATTTATACCAACAGCCATTGGCTTCAATGTTTCTTAAGTGCAAAAGAAAACTATTTTATACATTTTACCTACTTTGAATGTGTTCTTTGAAGGTATCAAAACTTCCACAAAAAGTATTCCTTGTTCTGATTTAATCTCCTCGAATTTTAGATTTAAGTTGATTTTCAAGTTATAGTTGTCGATTCTCAGAAACGGCAGTCTGTAAAAGCACAACAACTTTTAAGAAAAATGATTGCAAATGTATTCCTTTGCACTTAGAATTTCCTTTGCCTCTCGCTTCTCGTTTCGGCTGCATTAAAATCTCTTTTCCTGTCGCCTTGCATCAAGTTGCCATTTGAAATGAATTGATGTATATAAAGTACAGCTGGGATGGTCAAAGCGAAACATTCAAATTGCAGTACAGTGGTTTTCCTGTTTGCTTGTGGTTTTCCATTGCACATTAAATGAAATTGAAAGCCATTTGCCACGCCAAGAGGTTTTCACTTGCTGAAGATGTTACGCAGGGACTTGGATTGAAATAGTTCGAGCGTTGAGAGAAAAGTGAGAGATGAGAAATAAAGTTAATTTAAGCAAAGAGCTTTGGCCAAATGGACTTTGACTTTGATTAAGGAAATCTTTTAATGTTTTATTATACTCGATGACATGAAACCTTCTCTATAAGTGTCGCTCTCGTGTTATATCCTGTAAATATAATGAACAGTTCTAGTAAAAGTTTTCCACTCCATTAATATTGCATTTTTATGCCCCACTATGGTTTTCCCAAATTATATAGTCCAACCCATGGCGCCATTTGACTTGATTTGATTTGCTTAAGGTTTTTCCCTGCCTGAAAAGCTAGGCCCAAAAGTTTTCGACGCGCTCATAAAAACTATATACTATACATACCAGAATTAGCCTTCGCAATGAATGAGTGGGCGGGAAGGTCTGACATGAGCGCCCATTAAATTTGGCCAAACTGTCAAAACTAATAAAAAGTTTGTTGACATTGTATGTGGAGAAATAAGGCTTCTGCTAGAAGGATTTCTGAACTCTCTCTTTTATGGCTTTCTCTAAAGTGAAAAAATGTTGTAAAAAATATGGAAAGAAGTTACACAATTAGATACTCGTACAGAATTGTATAAATTTGAATTTGCAAACTTATATTTTTATGTATACATTTTTAAACTTACTCCATGTTGTAAAGGCTTGTTCGTTAACAAACTGATTTTTGATATAAATATATTGTTAGGAACTGCAAAAAGGTTTCTAGTAAATTTAAGCAATAGAAAATAATAAAATAATGAATTTATTTTTCATACGGCGATTTAGATTAGTAAATAGCTAAATTTACTGAATCGTTAAAACCATCACCAAACATTTTTGGCATTGGTCTTTACCAGGGGGCTTGTTGAATACTAATATAAATCTTAAACAAGCGGTTAAGAAGATAAAAGGGTTGAAGTGCGAAAGACAATCCCGGAAGAACGATTTTATTGTGAATATCGTTCCTTGGTCAAAAATGGTTTTAACGAATCATTTTTCGTAATCGGAGAATTCCTAAATTTGGTTAAAGCTTCTAGAAGAGCCACTTAAATACTCTTTGATTATTTCTCAAATGTATTGCCATGATCAAATCTCTAAAAGGAGATGTTCTGATTTTGTTTTATAAACAGAATAATGTAAATACAATATTGTAAGTTCATTTTTTCCATTTTATCTTATCCTCCATTCATTTCTATTATCCGGTGGTAACACTGACGTGCGCCAACAGTTTTTTATGAATTCCTCCCACAAGAAGGACCTTGCAGTCAGCGGGCCCTGTATTTGCTCGATGGCGAAAGCCGATAATCAATTTTGTTGAAATGGGCAAGTTAGCAGTAACAGCAGCACTGTTAACAGGCTAGGGAAAGCCTGTTAAGTTAACAACATGCGCAGGCCCTTACATTTAATTTTAGTACACTCAATTGATGGGGGAGGGGGGAGGGGTGGTATATTGTGAGGGAGAGAGAGAAAGATAAAGAGAGGACAAACAACAACAAACAGCAGCTCAGCTGTTTTCTGGCCGTGTCGCGTGCTTTGTCCTTGACAAGGTTTTGTTTTTCCTGCATTTTTCATATTTTCCCAGCAAGAGGGAGGGAGACAGCGCATCAGAGAGGGAGAGAGCAAGCGAGAGGGAGATATGAAAAGCGTGGGAGAGAACACAGCTTTTCGCTGGCTGCGCCATTTTCATTCAGTAAAAAAAGGAGAGGAAGCTAAACTTTTCCAAGGCGGAAACGCTCCTGTTGGCTGGATCCTACATACACATGTGTCTGTGGTTCACGTTCCTTGGCCTCTTCTGTGGCTTCCATTCGCGTGCCAATTGCCCATAAGTTCAGCCAAATGCCGAAATTGCTTCAAAGTTCTCGGGAAAGACACATCAGCAACCGCAGAACCCGCTCAACTTTCACTTCTCATTAGGATTACTTTCTTCCTTCTTTCCTAACTATAACTCCCATTCTGTTAACTCACGGAATAATGTATAAAACTGTATATAAAATGTATAACTGTCAGTTATATCTACACTTCATGTTAATATTAACTTCGATCTGATCAACAAGTAATCGGTCTTAAGAGCTATTTGCTGATCTGCAACATTACCAACTTTTGGTTTTGCCGTTTGTGTTACTAATCATAAAACTTTCTCAGTTCCGTTTTTCAGTTTAAGCTTTTTGTTTAAACCTAAAAGGGTCCTCCATTCTTTTATTTTCCACTGAAATTTGGAAAAGCCTTTTATGGTAGATAGATATTACTATTTTTCACAATTTTTTAAAATGTTTTTAAGTTTTCCTTATAAACTTGCAGTATTAGGCCACCTACAACAAATTTCCTTCAGTGCAAGAGCCATAACTCTAGGTTTACTTTTTACCACCTTTGACCGTGGGTCTTGGAATTAATACGTTGACCTTTCGTTGAACCCATTCGCAGATCGCACCTTTAATTGTCATCGTTTTTGTCGTTTTAATTGCGCCGCACGTGGCCTCTCCTTGTCCCGTAAAACTCTGCACTCCATCCTTATGCCACCGCAGTTTTGAGGCGTCTCCTGTCGTAATATTTCACGCCCCAGCTGAAAATTATTTTTAGTGCCTGCCGCGTATGTTAATTAAAACGTTGATAAATTGCCGACTCTACAGGCGCCCAGGGTCCGATGGGTGAGAGTACGTGTTGGCGTTAAGGTGAATGCTTAGTAATAAGTTTACAGGTGCCTTAAAGCTAAGTGC